GCTGCAGAGGTTCTAGTCATCATGGGGAATCTGGCCCTTGAGAGCTGTTCCAATATAACATTATTGTGAGGCCTTATCTAGAGTGTAATTTTGGACAGTTATGTCAGTATGAGCTGTGACCAAGCTACTGAGGTGCTGCTGATAGTTTGCACACAGTGGGTCAGAGCTCTGCCCTGGCCAGTGGCCTGAGGGTTTACCCAGAATCTCTGCTGGATTTGCAGCTCTTGGTATAGACAGTGTTCCTTTGACTGTCTTTCTGACATATTTGTTGTTTCCATTGTAAGATTAGGGATGTCTACACCAGTTAGATTTTGAGCTATGGGAGATGCCTTGCAGATAAAATGCAGAGTTTATTTCTACAAAAACACACAGAAAAAAAGAAAAAAACACAAAACCCCCAACCAACCAACCAAAAAAAAAAACCCAACCAAAAATCTTGGAAGGCATTCAAAGCTATGTATTTAAACTTACGTCAGGTTTATGGAGAGAAAATATGAAATATATCTGCATCTATTATGTATGAGGATATGGGTACATACTCCTGTCTTAAGAAATTCTTCTGCTTTAAATAAGGAAGGAGAGAGGAGAAAATTGCTGTAGGTGTCCCATTTCTTTCCAAGCATCTGCTATCAGGAAATCTCAGACACAGGATACTGAGCTATATGGATATCAGCCTGACCCAGCAGGACTTGTGCTTATGTGCTGCTTATTTATCTAAGAAGGATGATGGGGGAGACATTATCTCATTTTTGCTTTGAACATGTTCCTTTGATTTTGAATGAAGGATAATTTTACCACATTACCATAGAGGAAGATACCTTGTTAAGAAGATGAAGGAAGGTTGTGAATTAATATTCTTCATCAGTCTACTTGAGGCCCAGATGGCAAACACTGTCTCCTCTAGCTCTTGAAGAACACAGGCAAACCTACTTTCTAAATTTTGAAGGTTGAAAACTGCCATATTTGAAAATTATTAGAGCGATTTTGTCTTAGTTGTTAGACTGGGACCAGTGCAGGAGCCTGACAATCACAGAGAAAGCTAATCTATGGGTCTGACAGTTTATGGTTAATCTGACACTTTACAGATGCTTACTGTGTGACAGCTGCAATGAATCAGGTTATTAGAACAACTTTCTACTCCCTGAAGCTTATTTATTCCTGTCTTTCTCTAAATAGGGGGTGGGGATGTGTAAAACCTATCAATGAGATAGAGGAGAGGGCCTGAAGCCAGACAAACCAAAACATTTAGAGATTGTGCTAATGTTACGAAGATGAAAGGAATCCCCAAATAAAAAGGAGCCAGAGACATATTTAGCAGAGCCTCATTCCTAAACAGCCAATTGGATGGAGGCAGGAAGGTTTCCATGCACATCTCAGAAGTTGTTTTCCCTTATAAAGTAAAGCAAAAGGATTACTTTATTCACAGTCTTCTATAGACTGGGATAAGCCTGCAGCTTCTGTCCCTCCTTTACCAAAAAAGTATGGCATCTACCCACTGGTGCTGGGCCTCTGAGCTGGCATTCCTTGGGCCAGCTGGAGCCATTTCCTAGGCATGGGTGGATCTACAGCCCCTGCTGCTGTGGAGGCCCTGGCAATCCACAGTTACTGAAAAGAAAGAACTAAGGAAGGTGTAGTTAAATTTCCACTGACATATTGAAAGATGTTGGAAGTCAAGCCAAGAGAGTTCCCAATGTGCATTGGAACTTTGCTAGTATCTCTATTAAGAGATCAGGGGAAAAGATATTGAAGAGAGAGGCAAAGTTAATTTATTCTCTTTTTCTTTCTGTGACTATATTCCAGACATACTCTTGTGATGCAGACTACAAAAGGGTTTAGCATGGAAAACCTAAGAAGTTCTCAGGGGAAGGCAAATAAACGCCATAGGTTTTGGCTATGGATACAAAGAAAGAACAAGAACCTTGGGGTAAAGACACACCAGGCAAATTGTGCTCTGAAGTTTCTGTACAAATGAGTGGGATAAGGACTGAAAGGCAGCAGAAGCTGGTGTTGGAAGTGGCCTCCAGAGGGAAAGCTAAACTACTTTCAGGAATGGTGTTTTGTTCTTTTCCTTAAAAGGCAAACAAACACAAAAAAACACAAACAAAGAACCCAAAGCCCCACTCTATATATATATATATATGTTTCAGATGAGCTCTTGTTTGTCCATAGCTGCAGAGGACAGTTCAGAGGTTTGATCCCCAGAACCTAGGTTTGATTCTCAGACTTTTTCTATGCAGTTCTTTTTAGGTTCTCATTCATGTCTCATTCTTCTGAGTTCATTCTTCCCTCTGCCCTTGCCCCTTTGGCAATGACCTAAGTTACTGAGAAGAAAGGTATAAGCTACTAATGTAATTTTTTTCACATGAGCTTTTATGTATAGAAATATTTGTGTGATCATAACTTCAGCATGGAGCCATTAAAAAGAAAAGAAATTCTTTTATTCTATAATGTCCCTGAAGCTGGCCTGACTTAATTTCCTTGTATAGTTCACCTATTTGTCTGCCTTCCTTCCTGCCTGCCCTGGCATTTTCCATAATGTCCCACTGCAGGGACAAGCTGCCTGCAATGCTCTTCATTGTGCTCTGGAGCCGTGGCTGGGCAGCACCTCTGCATTTTCTCTCTGCTGTTGCTGTGTATCCATTCACTACTGCTCAGTCAGCCTCTGGGCTTACTTCTTCTTTCTAGTCTGCCTGTGCCTGTCCCTAACAAATACCCTTCACATGGCAGCTCCTTCCAAGGAGCTGGTGTTTACTCTGTATCGCCACATCAACAACTGCCTGCTCTCAGTGAGACTCTGTGTCAGCTGTATCTTTTTCATGAGCACCCTGAAATCTTCGGTGCCCATGACAGGGAAGGTGATGTGTGATCCCCACCCAAATAACCATTCCTCAAAGCAGCCAAGGGGGTGCTGCTGCCACCACTGCCACCAGCAGTAATTGTAGTGCGCACCAGGGTAAGGTTACAGCAATCATGACGAAGCTTAACAGAGGTCCAGTCTCTGGTATCTGCGTGGCCACTGTCTCCTTCATGTGCACAGAGGTAGAAAACTGTTGCCTGTATTTCTAGCTATGCCAAGGAGCAGTGTGGGTGAGGTACCAGCTCTGCTGAAGGGTTGCTTACTTGGCTCTGCAATCTCACTTGTGCTGGACCCACCATAGTAGCATCACCACCAAGTGTTTTGGGATTGTGAAGTTCTGCTCAGTAAGGCAGAAAGTTTGTGCTCTTTTGAATCTTTGTCCCAGTCTAGATATTCAAGGATGATGTTTCTGAAAACCTTGGAGTGTGTTTCTTCTGATCTAGAAGGTAATTGATGCTTGTATTGAAATCAGACATCAGACATGATACTGCATTGATGGGTTCTGCTGTGTGAAATTTCCCTTCCCCTTGACCAAGCTTCCCTGATCTAATACCATATGTTCTGTATGAGGTATGCAAGTTTTCTCAGCTATGTTGTTGAGTGTTGTTTAAAAAACAAAGAATTTGATTTTGGCTGTCCTTTGAAAGTCAGTTGGGGATATGCAAAAAAGGGCCTGTTTAGATTTTCTTTCCTTTTCTTCTTTTTCTTTTTCTTTTCCCTTTTTTTTTTTTTTTTTTTTTTTTTTTTTTAGTATACCTGTCTTTTGCCCTGATGATGGAAGTGAAATAATAAATAGCTTTTGCATGGCTCATGTTCCAACGCTTGCTAGCTTCTGTTTCTGACTCTCCAGAGCAGATACATTCCTTAAAAGTTCCTTTCCTTAAAAGTTAAATTCCTTTTGGTGTTCAATCCATAATCCTGCCTATTTACTATCTCTGCTAGCAGCTTATTCCTTAAATTTTTCACATCAGAAAAACTTTCACTGTGGTTTTCTGGGAGGTTTTTTTTTCATGAAAGCTTCTCAGTTAGGCAGCCAGCACTCCATAAACAAATGCACGGTGCCTCTCCCTGTTGTAACAAGACTTGCAAAGCAAGGCTCTTACTTGGATTATCACATCTCTCTTGGCTTGTGTGTTTGGAGAACTTTTGAATTTTTAAGGTTTTGTATTGAGTTAAGAGATGCTGTTTCTCATCTGTTGTACAAACTTAATGACAAAACATTGTTGGCTGTGAAAGGGCTGCTTCACTAGAATTAATCTGTCCACAGAACAGTTGGCTACAGCTGTAGAAATCCAGGCTTGTGCTGAAAATAACTTGTACAATGAGAACTGTTCCTTTGTTTGCTAAAAATGTGTTCAGTGAAAAAGATAGCTGGGGTTATAAAATTAAATAACTTTATTATGAACAACTTGAGATGTAAGTTTCTGACAGTGCAGATTTGTGGGCATCAGTGGAGCAGCTCTAGGGCAAATTTGGTCTGCAGAACCTGGAGCTGGAGAATAAGTTTTCAGAGAAACAGAATGGATTCTAACCCATCACAGACCAGAGAGGCTAATAACAATCTTTTAATTGAACATTTTCAAAACCTTCAAAGATTTCTCTGTGAATCTTATCCAACAGCTGGTACTTTTTTATTACCCTTACACCTGTGGGCAATATTTATTATACATGAAAAATTAGAAGCTTTTAAAGGGACTTTGTAGAAAAATTGAGCAGCTGTTTAGCTGGCCAAAAATATTTATTCATTGTTTTTATCAAAATCTTTAATGACAGCAAGGTGTTTGTTTAAAAAGACCTTCCCTATTATAAATGACTACTTTTCCAATTTCTCATTCTGCTTCTTGGATGTTATTATGGAGTCCTGGACCTCTCTTGTTTGAGCACATGATCGTCCTGCGAGAGGATGTCTACTGTGGGCACACTTTCTCTGTATTTTAGCAACTCTCCTGAAGTTTTTAAATGTTTATCTTACACAGCTGAAAGTCTCCTCCTGTTTCATGAGCTCTACACTGGAATGCAATGGAAGAGACCCAGGGCCTGTGGCCACCCAGATTAGAGTTTTTTGTATTAAGGTCCCTATATGGTTTTGTTAGAGACTTCAGCTCTGTCTCTGTCTGTCTCTGCTCCTTGTTTGGGAGGCTAGTGGGAGGAGAAGAGCTGAAAGGGCTATAAAACCTCTGAGGTTTGAGATACGGAGTGTACCACCCTAGAGCAGCCATCCTCAGCCAAGCGCTGTCAGGGTAAGTGGCACGGAACCAATGGCATGATTTACAGGTTGCTGGAGGATTTCAATTAAATAATGTCAAGTGGAAGTTGTTCAGAAGGATGCACTGCTGTGCTGTAATTGCTTAAAAGGCTTATTAGAATTGAGTTGATAAAATACTTTTAGTATCTGTACTGAGTTGTCTTTATTTTATACTCTGTAAGGAAGAGAAAAGTTACCCTCATAATTTACCCTAAAAGAAAAAATACCCTAATAATTTTACTGCTTCTACCAGCACTTCAGCAACTATATAAAAAATGACTTGTGTAATGCCACCACTGGAATTGCAGATATATTCTGGTTTAAATGAACTTGTCTGACACTGGGGTATTAGTCTGGGACAGATTTCCTGATGGGGTATAGTAATACCCCTGATGGGGTAATAGTGTTTCTTAGCAGATTTGCTTCAGTGCTTTCAATCGAGTGTGAGAGAAAAGAGTGTTTCATGGAATGTGACTGCAAGAAGAGCTGGAAGTATGCAAATCAGCAGTGTCTAGTCGGATGAAATGAGGATGCATGTGTATTCATCCTTGTCTCTATGTATATGAAACTACTGTTCTGTAAAATGCCAAATATTCATTAACAGGCTACACACAGTGCTTGTGGAGCTGGAGTTCCCTTTATAATTTATTGGGTAGATTGGTGAGGTGATTGATTATATTTGCATGCAAAACAGGGAGAAGAAAGAGGCTAAATACTGTTCTGTTTACTTGGGAGAAAAATTTCCTTTCTTCCACAGTCTCTGTGACATTTGCCTGCCATGGCAGTCCTGAGCTGTAACTCATTGGTTGGTAGCAGAGCCCTCTGTCTGATTTTTCAACTTTTTGTGCTTTATTACTAAATATGGTTTTCATTTACAGTCCACTAAGCCCAGAAATGTAGCCTTTCCTGCCCCCTTCTTCCCCTCCCCCAAGTGATTTTTGGCATTGCATTAGCTGCATTGGTTTGAGCAACCCCCTGACCTCAAACGCTGTTCCAAAAACAGACGGCTGAAAAGCATATTTCCTAATTAGGAAATGGTTTGTCCAAACCAGTCTGTTCATTCATGTTAGATAACAGTTGTACTCCATTCAGTAAATATTTTAATATAAAGAGCCTAAGTAGTTTAATAAATGAAAAAAATTGCAACCTACTTTCCTTCCACAGTTACAATGATAAAATATCTGTAACACAAAGTTAGGATTTCCCTATCTTTGCCTTCTCCTGGGAGCTCTGCCCACGCAGCCGGCAGGAGCAGGGCTGCAGCCACGTCTCGTGGCTGCCTGGCTGGGGAGAGACAGAGGATCTCAAATGAAGCATTTGGGAGAACTTCTGTGCTTGTTCCATCCATTGTAGAGGCTAAACAGATTGTGGCCTCCCTTGCTCACTGGCCGTGGCTCTTGCTGGCCCCATTCTCATTTCTGCCTGCACTTCCAGTATTCCTGCAGCAGAAGGTTTTGGAGACTGCATGTGGAGCCAGCTGGTCCGTGGATGACAGCTGTCTCCCTTAGCTGTTAACACACTGCAATTTGTTGGACTCTGCATGGAAGCCCAGCCTTGGAGTGGGCCAAGTGATTCCCTACCACACTATAAATTGTGAGCAAATAGTTCTTCTTGAGTCCTGGTATTCAGTGCTTGTTTCTGTAATTGACTTCAATACAAAGCCTCCAAAGCATTTTTATTACCCGTATTATCTTCCTGTTGCCAGAGCAAGAAAACAGTTTTTTTACTGAGCCAAGGAGCCAACATAAATTGTCCTGTCACTCTACAAATGTAGTTTATTAGCTGCTTTGAAATGATGATAGAGCAGACGTTATGGCCTCTTTTTAAAACACATACTGTCTCTGGCTTAATTTTAAATGTGGGTTTATTTTTCTGACTGATTAGGGGAGATCTAGAAAAAACTTTCTTCTTTTTTTTTTTTTCCCCTTTTTTATTTGGAAAATTTCTACCTTTTTAAAATGTTAAATGTAAACTTAATTGGCCATCTTAACCGGTGGATTAATATCTTCATCAGGAAAACACCCCTGGTACACGCACAGCATTTAATGTAATTAGTTTTTGGAAAGCCCACGACTAGAAGGGGAAGCTGAAGCGCTCTTACCTTTTAACATCTATCCACATATGTCAGGATTTTGTCAGGGCGATAGAAAAGCAGGAGAAGTTGTGCTGAATTAAATGCAAATGAACCTTTATTTTTGCAGCTGTCAGTCCAGTGTTCTCTTTTATCTCCCTCCCCCAGCCGTGGATTTCTGAGACCAAATTTAGGTAAACATTTGCTGCTCCCCGATCTCTCTGCCCGTGCCGCAGGGCTGGAAGTCTCCTCTGGAATTCCCTGGATAATCTCTGGTGCACACAGACATGGCTGATACCTCTCATGCTTTCAGAAGGAAGCCCATTCCCTCCCACAGCCCCACATCCTTGCGATTCCCAGCCCAGGACCATACCTCTTCTTGCAGGTTCTGGTAGCCAGGGTGGCTCTGCTACCTGAGTGTGATTTTTGGTTCTGATTTACTTCTTCCCTGCTGTTTTCATAGGGCTGTTTTCTGTCGGGAAGGCCAGCAGGCACTGCTGTAGAAGATGTGTGAGGAAGAGGACAGCACTGCCCTTGTTTGTGACAACGGGTCGGGGCTCTGTAAAGCCGGCTTCGCTGGAGACGATGCTCCCAGAGCAGTTTTCCCGTCCATTGTGGGTCGTCCCAGGCACCAGGTGATGAATTACTTTGTAGAAGGCTTTGCTGCCCTGTCCCCAGCTCTTCAGCCAGGGCCATCTGTGCCTGGGGCTAGTCCAGCATGGGCTGATCTGTGTAACACAGTATTTCCAGGCAAAATGAGTCCAGCAGCACACTCACCTGAATCAAAGGATGTCTCTTGCCCTGTAAAAAAATCCTTTAAAATTTTTTCACTCTCTTCTATGCCATCTTTTCTCTATCCCTTAATTTTGAATCACCTAGAGAACTTGGTGATTAAAACTAGTTTAAAGAAACCCAATCCAAAATGCAAATTAGCCCAACACAGGAACATCTAGAAATTCTGACTGCCCTTAAAGCTGATAATAGGTAATGTGTGGAAGACTAAAGCAGGAAGCAGAAGTTTTCAATTAGCTTCCTCCTAACCTTTCTGACTTTATTCATTAATGAATAAGTACCAGAAATGGGTATCTTCTAGGGTTGAGTTTCTTTAGCTTCAAGGTTTATATTTGAGTATATGATGCATTCTACTAATATTTTAATAGTTTGCAAAAGACATTTATTATCTGAGCTGTTAATTATAGAGAGTATGTGAGACAGATCACCATAAGCAGCTTTTCTAGGTCATGACAAACTAATCCCAGTAATTAACAGATCCACCTAATTGCTTCTAAGTCACCCAAGGCCCTGGGGGAAAAGCGGCAAGCTCTTTGCAAGATGAAGACTTTATATATCCAGCAAATGCATTTTAAGTTCTCCAGGATTGGAGAAATACCTGCCTTTCAATATAGAAAAAAGGACTGGAGGGCTAATTGATGCCTCTGGGAATCACCATAATTTGGAAAGTGCATTCAAATGCCATCATTTGTATCTAGTGTAAATGATAATAATTGCTTAAAACAAAGCCATATAGTTACAGTAGAAACAAATACAGATTTCTAGAACCTTTCTTTCCTGATCATTTAGGAGAGATCATCCCATTAAAAATTGTAAATCTGGGATGCCTATTTTTAAGACATGGATTTAGAAATGCCAAGATTTGGAATCTGTAATTAATAAGTTCTGATAGGAGTATTATGCACTTAAAGAATCCTACTATATTCTATTTTTCTTTCATTATTTCTGATCTTAACATAGAGACTAGTGTATATCCAGAGTAGTTTCCAGATTCTGATCCTTTAATAATTTCTACAGGATCCATGAAAATATCTGTAAAGAAGTCCACAGAGTAGATTTAAATTGTCCATCCCTAATTACAGTATTATGGCATTCAAATAGAGGATTAAAAAATGTTGAAACTGAAGCTTTGAGAAATGTAAAGTTTGTATCACTCCATCTTGACCCTTAGATGGCACAATATCACTTTCTGCCTTTACCTCACTTTATTGTCATTTAGCACACTGTTCATCCCTAAATAATAACAAACATAAACCAACTCAGTTTTCCCACTTTATCTTGATGGATTTAATATTGTTCTTGCTCTGTTTACTTAACTGTAGTGGAAATATGAACTCCAGAGATTTAATAATCAAACATTTAATACTGGCAATTTAAGAGCAACACATAATACTCCACTTGTCAGTAATAGTAAATTATATTGTAACTAGTATAACTGGCAATTGGATTTATTTCCCAGCTAATGTTCTGTCTACTTTATGACACTTTTCCCTGAGAGACTAACACAATTTGTATTATTTTATAGGGTGTGATGGTTGGTATGGGTCAAAAAGACAGCTATGTGGGTGATGAGGCTCAAAGCAAGAGAGGAATCCTGACCCTGAAATACCCCATAGAGCACGGCATCATTACAAACTGGGACGACATGGAGAAGGTATTTCAGCTTTGAAAAGCCAATGTGTACTTCTGATAAACACAACTATTTGATCCAAATATTTACGGAATATCCTCTAAATTTTAGATTAAAGTGTCTAAAGCTTGAGTATCAGTATGAGTACACCAAAATTGTAATTAGGAGTTCTTTTACTCCAGCCTGATCTTTGCCAGTTATTGAGAAGGGGGCAGGGGGAGAAAGAACGGAAGGAAGAAAGGAAAAGGAATAGATCAAATTGCCAGTAAAAAATGGAATTTAAGAAGTTACCTGCTTCTGCAAAAATGCAAAGCATGTATGTGATTCTGATGAGAAGGGCAGTGTTTATATACATACTTTTTAATGCTTGGAAGATTAGCAATATTGCAGTGCAATGCATCCATTTCAGAGCCAGTATTTGACTGAAAGGCTTCCAGAACCATGTTTATAGTCATAGTCTGTACAGATAATATAATTTCTAAGATTCTAAAGTGGTATCTCCATTTAATGTTCTGTGAAAATAGGGATATTTGGAAGTCTGGACATCCCAACACACTATAAGTGTGTGGAGTCATCCAGCACTTAATGAGTCTCAGTATTGTAGAATTTTCTTGAAAGCAAAATCTTTTAGATGCCAAACATACCAGTCCCTAATGACCACCAGCTTGAAAAACTTAGCAAAGCAAACTTACAAAAGCTTAGCAAAAACTTCTTGGCCTTCAGACTGAAATCCCTGGTTGTTTTACTTCTTATCAGTGTATTAACATCCTCACTGCCCAATTTGACCTCAGATTTTTATAGTAGGAACAAGTTATGTGGAGGTGATAAACACAAGTTGGCTTTCAACCTCACAAACCATTTATTTTCATTTCTTTTCATGAATTCTTGGTCCGGCCTGTACAAACCAAAAGAAGAAACTGTCAAGAGACTCATTATCTATTGAAATCTGTGTATGTTCTCTGAGTTGTTCTGGAACTGTTTCCCTTTCAGTCAAATAGCATAGCTGGAACCAAGTGTGTCCTGTTCTGTCTTTTCTATCGTAAGACTACTGTGTTAATTTTCCTTATGTGTCCTTAAAATAAGCCATATATTATGGTAGTAAAGCATAAGGATGGTGATTTTCTTTCTACAGTTACTCTGGTAGTCTCTGTGTAGGCAGTAAGAACAACTGCATGAGAAACGTCACCAGCCTATATCTAGAGCTGTAAGCAGAGTGCTGGAGCTCAGTACCTGTCTGGAAGTGATGCTGAGCTGCTGACTGATGGTGTTTCTTTCCCTTGGCTTCTCTCACTATCCTCAGATCTGGCATCATTCTTTCTACAATGAGCTCCGGGTCGCACCTGAAGAGCACCCGACTCTGCTGACCGAAGCACCGCTGAATCCCAAAGCCAACCGAGAGAAAATGACACAGGTGGGCTCGCACTAAAGCTATGGAATAGTCTAACCTTGTCATTCAACAGGATGTGAATGTCAAATTCACAGTCACACATTCCAGTTAGTCACACTGTCCAGCAGTCTGTCTCTCTCTGTTATGGAAGATGGAAAGTACATGGCAACCACCTGTCATATTTACATATTATTACATATACTTTAGAAAATCACTGTATCCACTTTGAATGTGAGCACTCCAGTCAGTCCAAACGTTGTCATCTTAATCTGTTTTTATGCCCAAGCCTATTACAAAATTATCTTTAATATGTGCATGTGGCTATATTAATGTGATAAAGATATAGGCCAAATACAGGGAGATACCTTACAGGACAAATATTTTTGGATTTAGATTTTGTATTTTCCTTTCTTGCTTTTACCAAACGTAGAGAAATATGAAAATCTTGTATTCTACCTCTTTTTCAGTAAATTGCTTCAGCTAAGCTAAACCTTCTAGTGTTAAAGACAATTATTTTAATTGCATTTCAGATTATGTTCGAGACGTTCAATGTGCCAGCCATGTATGTAGCTATTCAAGCTGTGCTGTCCCTCTATGCCTCTGGACGTACCACAGGTAAGCCTCAGGGGAACACGGCATAGGTGTTTGAAATAGTTCCATGGGGATGATGGGAATGAACCATGTGTTACCGTCTCAAAGGGATCGTGCTTGACTCTGGGGACGGTGTCACCCACAACGTGCCGATCTATGAAGGCTACGCCCTGCCACACGCCATCATGCGCCTGGACCTGGCTGGCCGGGACCTGACCGACTACCTCATGAAAATCCTGACGGAGCGGGGATACTCCTTCGTGACCACTGGTAAGGACACGCTGCTGGCCGAGAAGGAGCGTTGTTCTTGGGCACTGGTTCCCCTGGCCTCACAAGGACTGTCAGCGGTTCTGCAGTTGAACAGGCATGAGAAGGTCTCCAACATGAAGGTCCCTTGAAAGATTAGCAGAGGATTTGTTTAAAATGTGGGCAGGGTGTTGGAGGATGAAAGGGAACAACCAGTCAACAGGTCTGGGTCCTTCCTGAATGCCATGTTAAAGATTGAATCCTTTTTACAGCGGAGCGTGAAATTGTCCGTGACATCAAGGAAAAGCTCTGTTACGTGGCCCTGGACTTTGAAAATGAGATGGCCACTGCTGCATCTTCCTCCTCTCTGGAAAAAAGCTATGAGCTTCCTGATGGTCAGGTGATCACCATTGGAAATGAACGCTTTCGCTGCCCAGAGACCCTCTTCCAGCCTTCTTTCATTGGTAGGTTCAGTGACTGTTCTGCCTTGGTAAACCACACAGAAATACCAAGTCCCAATTTCCTTTTGCTTGTGCTCCATTACTAACTCACCCAGACCTACACAAGAGCATGTCCTAGCACCCATTATAAAACAATCTTTTAGAACAGGTCTATTAATGTAGTGGGAAGAACTTCACGTTAAACAATTAGCCAAAATGCTTTCCCAAAATAAACCCGCTATGTTTATTCCTGTTTTCTGGCATTGTGCCTGTGCCATTCTCTATGTTTGAATGTGCTTGCCAGGAGTGGGAAGAGGTGGGAGGGGCATTTAGGTAGCAAGACCTACTTTTATTTTTCCAAAAGACTGCTCCAAATCCTGAATCCACAGTTCATCGCCTATCCAGAGCAAAGCCAAGATGATGCCATGCTAATCAACATCCATGAAGGCAGATTTGCAACTAGGTCACACAGAAAGGTCACACAGAAATCCAGTGTCAGTTCTGCCAATAGGCAGAATTTCAACTGGAAGATAAAGTGTTGCATACCTAGAGGTTTTAGGACATATTGTGACTGTTCTGTCTCCGAGTTGACTTAATTTGAAAAGAAAAAAAAAAAAAACAAACAAAAAAAACCCCAAATTATTCCAAGACCATATAAGGAATTCTTAGGACAACTGAGATTGCCTGCAGAAGCGTAATGGAAACTTTACTATTCCACACCCCAACTTTATTTTTCAGGAGGAGCTGTTGTGTATAAGAGGGAGAGGAGGGCTGTACACCAAGGAACTTCTTAAGCAAATAATTTAGGCAACTGCAAAATGACTTTCCAGCTTTCCAAAGCTCTGAGACTGATGTCATCCGAAGAGTCATTAAAAACAGCATGTCAGTTCTGCATTAACAATTTTAAGTATCTGTATGGAGTTGCTTCCCCAGTGTTCTTCTGTGCCTTCCCCAGGTATGGAGTCTGCTGGCATTCATGAAACCACTTACAACAGCATCATGAAATGTGACATAGACATCAGAAAGGATCTTTATGCCAACAATGTGCTGTCTGGAGGCACCACCATGTACCCGGGTATTGCAGACAGGATGCAGAAGGAAATCACTGCTCTGGCTCCTAGCACCATGAAGATCAAGGTATGTATGGTGCAATCACTTGTAGACTATATGAGCTGGCATTTAGATCTAGTGAAACATGCAACACTTTACAAAGTAAGATATTTTAACATATTTTGACTTACATCTGGATTACTTAGCAAATAATCACCAACTGGTAACTTTGGTGTTGAAAGAAGAGAGCCTTCTCTCATTTCCTTGTTCATGTTGATTTTGATCGAATGTCCTAATTGGCCAAAGAACAGCATGAGCCCAGAAGCATAAATTTTCCTCTGGGGCTGTATGTGAGCTTCTTCAGCCCTTCTAGTCTGATGGACATGGAAGAGAGGAAATGTTGTTTTTGTCTTTGGCTTACAAGTTTGAAAAAGAAAGACACCCTGACAAACTAATCTTTATTCTGCTGCTTCAAATCTTCTGTTCTTTGCTTTACAAACATTTTATCAACTATACCAAAAGGAGTGCTCCATAGGTCATTGATCTTTTCAAGCTCACCTGGACTGTCATTGTGTGTTTCCAGAGCAATTATCTCCCCTTTTCTCATATATGCTCAGTACATGAGTGCACCAGGGATAGGGGTCACTGAGGAGGCTGAGTTAGGCAGAGAATTTGATTTATAAAACAGATTCTAAACTTTCCTGCTTGCAGCAATGGATAGCACTAGTACATAGATGCAGTGTTTTTCTCAATATCACAGACCACTGCTTTAGTATTTTTATATAAAAAATGTATTGTATTCATAGTAGACAGTTGTACTTAATGCTTTATTTCTTAAACAGATCATTGCTCCTCCTGAACGCAAGTACTCAGTCTGGATTGGAGGCTCTATTCTTGCTTCCCTCTCTACTTTCCAGCAGATGTGGATCAGCAAACAGGAATACGATGAAGCTGGCCCATCCATTGTTCACCGCAAATGCTTTTAAATTGCTTTTTCTTTATATGTCTCCTTAGTGTGAATGTATTCAGGAAAGTACATTCTTATAATTTCATTCCATAAATCCTTCATCATAATTAATCTAATTAATTGGATACTGTGTAGTTCTTAAAATAAATTTTAAATATGCTATGAAATTGCTGCTCCTATTTAAAACAAAAGCAAAAGCCAGGCTGTGAGTGTGTGGAGATGCCATTACAGCTGGCTTGAAGCTCCATCTTGTGACATGAATTTATTATTACACTCTACTGGGCTTAACAAAAATGGTGGTACCTTTAGCTCGATGATACCAATGCTAGAAGATGCTCACCTGTCAGGCTGCATATTCTCAAAGTTTAGCCTCAGAAAACTTTTTAATGTGCAGACAGAACCAGTCGTGGTTCTTACAAAGTTCTTGGCAGTACCAAAGGAGCACAGCATCTGTTCAATATCAGGATGAGCATGGGCATGCTGCTTTGTATCTGCTCTATACAGAAATATTATCTATCCACATCACTTCTTACTTCACAGCTGTCATGCTGGAAAAGCTAATTTCTCACAGTGTATGGCCCAGGGGTGTATGATATGTACCCCAACAATCCTGTGTTTTCTTTAAAGAAAAAAACCTGTTCCTTTGGGAGCATATCTAAACACTAGGTAAACATATGGCTTTCCTATTGTATGCCCTCAGGATGAGTGCAGCCTATTATTTTTATTTTGTGATTTCTAGCAAGATATAAAGGATAATTAAGCTGGCTTAATATACTTTTTCTTCAGAACTTTTTTTTTTGAAAGGGGGGGGGGAGTAATGTGTTCAAAGCAGCTAAAATAATTTAGAAAATTTTATTTTCCTGTGATTTTTCTGATTCCATTTATAATCTTCAACACATCAGCTAGAAGTATATGCTTAGAAGCTGAAGCCAATAATACTGTCTTAGAAGTATATATATATATATGAATAAAGAATTAACTGAGACAGGCCTGGAAAAGGTCACTTCTAAGGAACTTGCTGCAATCTATTTTCATTAGAGTCCAGGATAAAGGATGCTATTTATTTTCATTAACCTATTTTCCTCTCTCAACTCAATAGTTTACCTCACTTGCCTGTTACTTGTTACCTTTCAAACTGTAAGCTCTTTGCAACAGCACCTGTTATTTACCATGTCTTCATAACCCTGGGGTTCCACATCTTGTCCAGCTCCCGACTGTTAGCACATGTTGCAAACCTCTTTGTACTAACCTTATTATTTAAAGCATAAGTGATCTAGGTTCTTGGAACAGTGACTAAATAAACTCTTGTAAAAGTAAACAACTTTGTATGGTTCTTCCTTCTAACTCTGTCTAGATCTTTTTATCTAACTCTAGATAGATTGAGGAAATCCTTTTCAGGATAAGAAGTGCCTTGCAGTTTAAAGTCTCTACTGGCAGGTTGCTGGAGAAGACACATTTCTCCAAGGGACTCTGATGCATCCCTGCTATCCCAAAATGGTGAGGATCAGCTCTCAGGTAAAGGATTTGGATAGTTCTAAGTATCTTCTGCTTAACAGATGAAACTTGAGCTATAGAAGTTGTACAGGAAAAAGAGATGAAAAAAAAAATCACCTAAACTGACTGATTTGCCTCTACTACATATAATTTAAATTTACTGAAGCTCTAAGAGATGTACATAGCTGAAAGTCACAAAAAGCTAACCACTGCTAAAAATACCTAATTCTCAGAAGGCAGTCAATGGGAAAAAGTGACAGAAGAAACATTCATTTCAACACAGTTACTGCAGTTTGAAGTTCATTTTATTGTGTTTTATGGGTGAGATTTGTTTACAGATTTAGGGTTAATGCCACTGAACTCCATCTTGACAGAGCAACAAAATAACTCCAAAACAGGCTAAAGCAATAAATATCAAACAATTCAATCTAAAATGTATAAATATAAAAGTAATTTCTGAAAATGTAGGAAAAAACAGGAATCCATTTTTTTCTTTTGGCCTTTTGTAGAGTACATTGGTGTGGTTCATCTGTATCACCTCAGATCCAGCACGACTATCTTTATGTCTTTCCCAACCACATGGGTACATGGCTGCAGAAGAAGTCAACCCATTACTCTCAGAAATCTTAGTAAAATACCCAGTAACTTCATCCATGAACTACATCTGTAAAAGACCACTGAAAAGAGTCTACCTGGAACAAAAACAAATCTTGATTTTTTTCAGAGTTGGACTACCTTCTCATTATCCCTGCACTCAATGATGAAAGAACAGAACAAAACAAAAAACTCTGACCTCTCCTTTTGAGGACTAATGCTGACATTCAGAGAGCCTGACAACACAGTCGCTTCCAATGTCTCTCAGCATGACTTCTCTGTATTGGATCATTTTATTTTAACTATAGGAGATGCTTCTGTATTTAAGAGAACCCCATTGAAAAAACCCAAACCCTTCGTTATTCCAAGGTAAAGGCTCTTATCAGAAATGCCAGTGTTAGCTGGAAGACAGTTCTGACTGACTGTACTGCTCAGCCATACATACACCATTATGCTATTGAAACATCAAAAGATACAGCAGTTACAGAGGAATGCTTAGAGAAGCCAAGGCAATCTTTTGCCAATGAAGGAAATAGGACTTAACCTACTTATAGCTGCAATTTAAAGCAGCTGGAATGTTTTATTGAGGCACTAAAATTGGAGAGATTAATTGATTCATTGCTTAAAAACTGAAGAGCTCGAGAGTAAGTCCCATTTGAAAATGTATTTTTTTCTCCTTCTGAAAGTGGTGACTGACAGTAACTACCTCTGGTTAGCCACCATTGAATGGCAGCTTTTAACACTCACCTCATGGCTACTAATGACTGCTTAAGTAGTCTCCTGCTGTCTACCTTGGTCAGTGAACTGAGGGTAATGAATTAGTAAAATGGGGAAAATTACTAAGAAATATAATCTCAAGTTTCTGTTTGCAGCAGAACTGTGGTCAGGAGTTTGAATAGTAAAAACTGCGTTGAATTATATACTTACAATAAATAACCTAGGGTCCTTTGTATGTGGATGGAATCCCTTCTTTTTACAAGCAGAAACTTCTAGCATGCCAGCATTAGTCAGTCTGAAGATGCCAGTGCTGAAAAGCAGATCAGGAAACTCCTGTTACACACTGCTCCCATCGAACACGTCCAAGGTTTCACATACAAATTGGTTAGCTTAAAAGGACAACAGAAAGGTGCTTGGTGACCAACACACACAGGAGCCCCAGCAGAGTTGGGTTTTTAAAGGTATTTTAAATCAAGGGGAGTTGTATTCCTGTAAAGCAAGAGATGATGAGGGGAAGGGGAGAAAAAGGATCACAGTACCGGTGCTGTTCCTGTTAGGCAAGTTAGGCCACTGAGGGATAAGGCTGGTTCACACAGAAACAGATGCAAACCAGAAACTTATGTATTCTGGATTGCATTTCACCCAGGGCAACTTAAAAGATAACAGCCTTTAAACCAGCTGTGTAAATGACTAGTAAGAGTACATCTTCCCCAATCTTTTAGTTAATCAGGTAACACAAAGCATTAGAAAATGCACTGCTGCAACTCTTTGGGTATTGAATAAAACGTTGCAAAGCCATCCTTCTCTAAAGAGGACCTATTAACTGCAGGTTAAAGTTGGTCATAGAGTATCAGCATCAGCTGGCAGAGAGGCTTGTAAGAGCAGAAATTTGGAAAGGTATGCAGGCATGCTCAGGGTTAGAAATGCTAGTGCTTGTGCCCTTGCCTCTCAATCTGTGTTCACAGCTCTGCTGCCTGAAGGGCCCATTTAGGAAGTTAGGGAACAGGACAGGATTCACTCTAGTGAGGCAGAAGGCCAGAAGGAAAGGCTGAAGAAATGCACACTCTAAACAATGGAGTTAGCCCTGGCAACCTGAAATGCTGGGCACACCAAAGGAGAATCAAAAATTTGTTGAACTTGGAAGGAACTTCTGAAGCCTGTCTGATCCAGTCCCCCTGCTCTGGCAGAATCACCTTGAGCAGGTTTCCAGGACCATGTCCAGTCAGGTTTTGCATATCTCCATGGATGTGGACTTCATGACAACTCTGGGAAAGCTGTTCCATTGCAAACCTTCACATTAATATTTGCACTATTCTTGTTTTTTCCAGATACATAGTTTGTAACTTACGAAATACAAAAATAGATCCTTATAAAAAAAATGACTTTTACCCTTCTGCTTTGCAAACTGCAATTTTCATGTCATTCTAGAGAAATAAGCCTAATTTCCCTCCACATTCTTAAGCAGACAGAATGAAGACAGATGTGTGGTAGGGCACTGGCAATGAGTACTCCAGAAGAAGAGCTCCTTTATTTATTACTTTGTTGAGCAGAATATATAAAAAAATAAAATGTAAAACCTGGGTCTGTGAAGGGAGGAGGAGAGAGAAGCCAGAAACAATGCTGTGCACAGAGACTGACTGAAATGGAAGTCTAGGAAACTTATAGAAAACAAAGTCACAACACAATGTTCATGCCCTTCATCTGAGTTGACATGTAGCCTTTGCATTTGATCAGATTCTATGACAAGAAGCAGGGAAAAATACCAAAAAAATTACTTTAAAAATCTCAACTTACTCATTATGCTTTGGTGAACAAACAATTGCAATGGCCTCTGGCAACATTAGCTGATAAGAGCAATGAGTATGAAGATCAACACTGGATAAGAATGCAGTTTGTGTTGGATGTGTCTACAAAAAAGAAAGGCAAAACTCAAGATCATGAATATTTCTTTCAGGTCAAGGTCAACATAAGAAGGAAAAATAATTTGTTACAAGTGAAAGCATCAGTACTTCCCCAGACTGGTTTCTAAAGTTCTTCTTAGCCCAGGGTCTATATTGTTCTACATTGTTCAAGCTGGAGAAAATAAGGCTTTTCAGGATGAGATTCATGGAGGCATGTTCACAATCAGATATACAAGCAATTTTCTGATCATGGGGAGAAAAGGTGGAATGAAGAAGCACAAGACAAATGGAAATTACTTAATTGTCCAAAATCCCTGAGAGAAAAATTAATATAAAGTTTAAACAACACAGTATACCCCTCCCTGACTTTTGAATATAGCACTAGAAAGTAAAAAAATAACCCTAAAGCAACATAAATAAAGTTTTACCAGCAAAAGTAGGCCCATTTTGTCAACAGGATGCCTCAATTGCATTAAGGAGTTCTCTGTGGAGAACATGAGTGCTTATTTATGTCACTACAATTTAAATTCAGTAAGCAAATTTGTTTCTTTGGTTTATTTGTGGTTTTTTCCTACATAGTACGGAGAGCCAATATAGGAAAAGCAGAATCTGTGAGTCATACGTACATGGATCCAACCCAAAGTGAGGAGATCATACTGATCCTGAATACCAAATAATTCTTCCACGTTCTCCATGTCACAGTAGTCTGGTCCTGCAGTTTGCTTTGGCACTATTACATGTGTAATAGTAAATTCATTATGAGTCTGCAAAACAAACATTGACTTAGGGTGGAACAGAATGCCTAAGGAATAAATGCTGAATCAAAATCTGAAAGATGTCAGCCTATCAGCTAAAACAAAACAGTACAGCTCCACTGATTCCAGTGCAGCTCACCAACATACTGTACCTAAAAATATGCCTTAGCATTTTATCATGAAAGCATACAGGGCAGTATTAGTCACAACACAAGACTGCTGTATTGAACTATTCTCAGAGATCAGTGTGAAAAGTCTGTCCTTTAAAATAACTAAAAACACGTAAAAGAGCTTTGAGAAAACGATCACGATTTTTTGTGAAACTCGGACCAAGACTAATACTGCTGTTCTTTCCCTTCACGCAGTTCAAATACACTCGGGATCATCTTTAAAATTCTTTGTGCCAGCATCAGCCATGACATCTTTCCCTGCTCTCAAAGGACATTAAATGTTATCTAGGTCAAAGAGAAAAAAAAATCAGATGTTCTACAGCTTGATGGGGAGATTTCTGTTCTGTTCTGCCATTATTAATTTGATGACTCCAGTGGATTCCATCAGTCTTTATATTTCATTGTCCTGTAACTAAACCTCACTTACCTTAGATGAATGCCAGAGAAAGCACTCGAAAAAGCCTGTATTGTACATCATGCTGAAAGACTTGCTAGGCTTTGCAACAATAGCAGGGTACTTTGAGCAGATGTTTCCCCAATAAAACAAGCCCACAGTGCTGAAATGACCACTCAGTTTATAATATGATCTATTACATGGAAGGCTAACCATTTATATCTGCTTTTGCTCTGAAATCAATACATCACAGGAGATTACAGCACCATCAAGTATGTCTCCCCCATACAAATGTGAGGGTTAAACTGTACCAGTTTTCCACAGAGAATTCCACATGTCTCTATTCCTCTTACTGTATTTGCCTCTGCCAGCAGCAGAAATTTGTGACAGAGATCCCTGGGCAAAATGACACCTCTGAGTGCTTCGGCCAATTGAGCTAAAAAAAAAAAAAAAAAAAAAAAAAAAAGAGAGAAAGAGAGATAAAAAGGCATTTACAGCTAACACAATAAAGATCCCTAAAATAAGGAAATATACACAGTATATTATACTATATTACTACAAGTGGATTATACAATATTGTACTATATTATTATACTTACCACATCATAGACTTCTGTAATGAGAATTAATCTACAGGACAAGCACTTATCTAAACTGAAGTCACCAAGCCACAAGATATGCTCACTAGCCTGTCCCTGAGATGACAGTGAGCTGCTGCCATCTCCCAGGCCAGGGCTTTCCAGGGGGAACCACTGCAGGTTTCTGTTTCTGTTCCCTCGAAGCCCATGGCAAGATTCAAACTTCATTTCACAGGAACACTAAATCTCAATCTCTATATCCATCCTATGGTACTCAACTGGAAAATGTGAAACTGCAGCTCCCTCTTAAAATGAAGAAACTATAAGGAACTGCTGTGTTTGAACAAACCTGTTCATGGTTATTTCAGTATGGGCAGCCTCACAGTGAATAAAGACATATGCAGGTAGATAAAATAAAACAGGGATAAAAGAAATGCCAGCACTTACTCTGAACAGCACTTAGAGTAGCTGCTGGCTTCAAGACCCGTTCCACTGGCGGCGAGTGCCCAGCACAGCCAGAGGTGCCGCGCCTCTCTTTTTTCTCCAGGAGTGCCGCAGATAAGGAACTGTTCTCTGGTACAGAAATACAAGACAGCATACTTCCATCTATCTGTTCAGACATAACCACACTCTCTTTGATCTTCTGATCTCGAGCTAGTTCTTGCTTCTTAAGCTGATCCTCAAAGAATTGAAACTGCTCCGATTCGAGCTGCTGCTGCCGCATATGTGCAATTCGTTTCTTCTCTGCCTCTATTAGCTTTTGGTGCTCCAATTTCTTCAGGAATTCAGTTTTACATTTGTTCTGAAACATACACAACATAGCGACATTCTCAGAGCACCAAAAATGCTACGACAAATGGTAGGAAAGGAACAATCTAACAGTTCGATAAAACCATAAAACCCTGCCATTAAAAATGAACTCTTTTGAAACCTGGTTACTGAACTGAAAAATACAACTATATCCCCAAAGGTGGGATGGAAAACATAGCACTGATGCATGGAACAAAAATGATGTTTCTTGGATGCTTTTTCCAAGACAAGCTTTTAAGCTATAGATCTTGTTTTCAGTGGCTTCAATCTCAATTCAAATTAAAGCACATTTGGAGCCAAAGAATCTTTTCCACTTATTGACATGAGTATCAATTTTATTTTCTTTAAAAGGCAGATTCAGAGCATACAAAAAGCCTATTTGGATCTTTGTAGACAGATATTAAGTAAATATGGCAGCACATGTATTTCCTAGTACATTTGCATTACTTATTTTTAAATGCAAATGACCAGCTGATTTTGAAGAAGAAATGAAAAGTCATTCCTAAGTAGCTCAGGAAACTACTAGGTTCTCATTAACGGGCATTCTACTGCTTAATTTTTAATTTTTAGATGACAGAAAAATATCCATATCAACATTTAAGAATCACATAAAACTTACTTTGTGCTGTATGTATTCTTGATATTCTAAATTATATTTTTTTAAAAGATCTCTTTTCAATTCATCTGTCCGTGGAAATGCAACCTCCTTCAATTTCTTTGCGGTAGGATGGGGAAAAAGATAAAAGAGTTTACTTTTCACTTTTTAAAAGAGCCACCTGGAAAACAAACTCAGCTGTAACACAGATTTTTAAAAAATACAAAACAGAAAAAAACCCTGCTTTTCTCACAGGAAAAAAAAGCAAAAGAGGAAATACACACTATATCATCAGTTTATGAAACTTCTATAGCACATTGGTTTCAATAAATATATTGATTTACATTAGTGAAACATGAGACATAGCTGCTTCTTGTCTCAAGCAAAGATTAGCCCTTTACTAGGAGTCTGTTATCTCTGTCTTGCTTAATAGGTGTGTGATGACTAATGTTTTTGTTGTAGGCGTAAATCGTAAAAAAATGCTAAGGCCAACTTTGGTTCTGAGTAAAACATTCAGTTTAACAGTAGAGAAAGCAAGCAAACATGGGGGCATGGAGCAAGAGACACTCATGGTCCTACAAGCAATTCTCACTGTTCCAGCAGTTTTAACTTCAGTATAAGGCTATACTTAAAATTTATGTAGGATTTATTTTCTAAAGGGGAAAAAAACAAAAGTAAAACTATTTTGTATGGAAGTGAGGGGAGAAAATCTGGTAAAAACGAAGTAAATACATATTTGGTAATAAAGAAAGAAAAAATATACTTATTTAGCAGAGTAAGCAAATACTGCACAGACATCAGTAATGCCACACATTTCTCCTTCTGTTTGCAATAGTCAGTTTGGACAATTATCCATTCACATAACTGGGACCAAAATCAAACTAAGTAACGTTAACATGTGCATTTTTAATATGCAAACTTTCAGAAATAGATGTACCTGGGCTCCCAACAACCTGCCAACTTACTGAGACCATTCTCATTCACGTTTTAGATCAATCATTTAATTTCCAAAATAAAACATGTATGAATAGTGGAGAAAAGTATCAGAAATTGAAGCTGTGATGGCTGCTATGGGTGCTCTGGGGGAAAAGAAGCTCTGGCCTATATGTGCTGGGGAAAATGAAGAGGTTCTGAGCAAAACATTTCAAAAGGACCAGGAAACCATAACCCTACCTTAATAATATCTTGTTTTTCTGGTACTGCACATTGGTGATAGTCTCGGTGACTGGGCAGCTTTTCTACAAACAACCTAGAATATTAAACATGCACGTGTTTAGTCAGAAGAATACCCATAATAGCTTTCATATTGGCAGAAAAATCAGTTTCATATAACTGTTAAACACTGAATTCCAGATGACTTGGACCAGGGTTCTACACACATGTTTAAACTAACACATTATGGTATGGACCTGTATGGGACACACAGAATAAGGACAGGAGATTATTTTCCACATCTGATATACTTTGGTTTCCATTAGTACTGGGTTAGGTTAAAAAAAAGAGCTAGCTAGCAGCCAGCATCTAAAAATATCCCTCAAAAACACCCCCCACTCTAGTCAGTGCTAGTAAATCCTATTTCTACTCTCTTTGTTCTTAGCCAAAATACTGATTCTCCAATGGAAGACAAAAGTGATACACTGACTATCACTAAAACAGAGCAAGCTGCACAGATAAATTATGGCAACACTCAGCTGCAAAGAGTTTGTAATGTACAGCTGCTGTCATTCTTTCAGTAATTTGCACAATAATCACCTCCAGACCCTCTTTTTATAGAGATAGATACGTTTGCAAACAGGTGGGCTAAGAAAGGTTTGGTCTAGTTTTCAGAGTATGAGGAAAATAAGGAGAGTGGAGGGATGTTTCCTTTGCAAAAATTTTTAAATATGCACATTAAAAAAACCCCAAACCTTTCCAAAGTAATAAAACAAACCAATCAATCCTACAGCAAAACTAGCTAGGTTAAAAGTTTAAATCTGCCAGTGATATATATTTCAGCTGTCTATTTTGAGTGTGGTAATGAAAGCTGGCCAGATTTGTTCTTTTGTGGTAAGGAGGATAATCATTAACATACATTGTAGATTTTGCATTTATTCCTGTAAGAAACAAAAAATTAAACTTAATCCTTTTGGGGGAATAAAAGTAAAATAGAAACAAGAAAACCCTTTTCTCATGCTTTTTAAGTATTGTGCAATACTACCATCCTTAAGATCAGCAGATGCTCATGGGACATAACTACTAAAGGCTTAGAAATATTAATTTAAACATTGCTTTTAAAGTCAAAAATTATGTTAAACCAATACGCTGACATATAAAGAATAATTTGGGGGCAACAGTGCTCATGGTATGGCCTGGCAGAGTAAACTCAAACCTCTGTATGTTAGGTTAATTGATGCCTGGCAGTTCACACATGGATAGGACAAGCCCATGGAAAGGTGGCAGGAAGTTTTAACAAAGCCCATGCTCAGTGTAAAATGTCTCCAAGAACACATTAAACACAATTCTCCTTATCTAAAGGGGTTCTCAGTGCAGCTCTCCATCTCAGTTTACTCAGAACCATAAGCTGTAATGGCTACAGCTGCTTCCTTACGTTATGAACTTGTTATAAAACACAAAGGCGTTCTCCAGGTTCCCCTCCTGCATGTACACCGACGCCATGCGCTCCATCTCCACTCCGGATCGGAAGTAGCGCCGGGGAGTGATGTCCTCATTGATGGTGATATTGCTGCCAAGCTTGCTTAAGGCACGAACTCTCTCCTCTGGGGTCACAGAGATGTCTGTGTGGTCAGGAATAGCCACCAGCTTTTTCTGAAAAAGATCAGTCTCATTAGCGAAGAGAATATTCCATTTCACTTTCAGTAAGTGGTCTCAGTCAAGAAGCTCAAGGGAAATGTTCAGCTAGCCTTTTCTGAAAATAGACATTGGTTTCCCACCTCTAGCCACAGTTGAAACATTCCAATATATTTCTCAATTGCAAGTAAATTGTGATCAAAAAGAAAAGTGATCTTATTCCCTCTGAAAACAACAAAAAAAGGATAAAATTAGGAAAACACCCGTAGGGCAAAAAAATTTAAGTAAATTGCTGTAGAAATTATCAAAGGCGGTATAAAGTGTGTCCTCTTAAAAAACTCCCACACATGAATTCTACAAGGTTCTGTCTTAAATTACTGAAATAATTTGATGGATGTCCTGAATACTCAGACTCCTATTACACGATAGCATTTTACTTCAAGAAATAGTTCAGGAAACAAAGAGCAATAAACTCCTCTTGTCAGTCAACAGTTAATTTCAAATCTTCATTTCCAGTTTTAAATGAGACAATTAAAAATTAAGAAGTTTGAACTAATTACTAAGGAAGGACCAGAGCTGCTTATTATGGTCATTACCTTCCTGGTAATAAATAAATAAATAAATGGCTAGTAGAGGTTATTTCCTCTTACTTTGGTGAAATCTTTTACCCTTTCTATTCAAAATGCTCATTTCAACTTCTTAAAAATCTGGTTGCTGACACCCCATAAATCACACATACAGAAATACCATAAATTCCAAAATTCAGGCAGCATGCAGGAAGAGACCCATGGAGCTGACAGCCACCACTGCTAAACAGCTCTCTTGAAATTTCTCCTAATTGGAAGAGAAGTTGCTCAGTCACTGAAAGATTTTTCTGTAATACATACCAATGAGCTGACAGTGAATGGTTGCTCCATGTTGTCTGCCTGTAAACCAAGGAGATTGCTCTTTTCCTCCATAGTCTCCATCTGACAAAAAGGGCAGTATCAATCCTGAGCTCAGTATTTGCCACCAGATGTCTCAGGGTTTAACAGCCCAAGGGAAACTGGAATATAGATATGTTGATTGTGGTCATGTGCTGGAAAAAATCAGTCATTCAGATTAGAAAAATATTCAAATGTCACATAAGTTTGCATGCCAGCACCCACTCTTACTTTGGTGGCACAGCACTTACACATTTAATAATAATCTAAGACTTACCAGATGTCTAGAATTTAAATTGGGAATGCATAACAGCTTACAGTGCTGTTGTGGACTAGTTGACCTGTACTAAGGTTATTTCAGCATATTTGAACACAATAAATTATTTTCACAACTTTTATAGCAACTTAAAACCCCCCTAACTTTCAAGTATAAAGTGAAAAACACAAAAGTTTGAGGACTTCTAGGACTTATTACAGAATCTGTGCTTCGAGCATATGTTTACAAACATATTGATAAAAATATGAATCTGGTATCTTTATTTTCTGCTAAGAGTAAGAGAAATAAAACTTAATAAACAAATTTGTATCAGTAATATAAAGCAGAAAAAATACTTCAAACAGCATGTGTTCCACCTGCACAGCTTGCTGATTTCAACACTCAAAATACAATCAATTCTGATAGGTCAACTAATAAAAATTCCTCCTTGCACAGTTTTGAACAAGTTAAGAGAAAAAATGTAGATGTTGTGGTCATCAAAAAAAACCCTCAAAAGTAAACTAAACTTTAACAAGAAAACCCAACTCTGAGAGAGGAATTAAATACTCAAATTACACAGGAAATGTGAAAATTAAGTTTCTAATGTGTTTTTTCATTTGGTGTTCTCAATCTAAACAGGTTTGATCTTGCATGTCAAAGGATCTTTATATGTTGCAATAAACATGTAAAAACGTTGCAAAAAAATGTAAACATGAATGCATTTGTAAAAGCATAGAGTGGGTTCAGCAAAGATACTTTCTCAGCACACTTCTCTCTAGAGGCCAGAGGACTCTGGGTTGAAGAAAACAACCCTAATGTGTTTTCAGATGGCTGTATTTCTCAAGTATTGATTTTTTCCTCATTTTTCTTCCAAAAAGCAATACTATCTATTAGATCAGTCTTTAATTTTAACCATTATTGCAATTCATTTTCAAGAGGGTTTGCTACTTAAGGTATTCAAACTGCTAGCACAATTTGTAACCAAAAAATAAAAGCAAGGCTTATACATCTGAGAAAACAACCTTAGTTGTGGTTGCAGTGCTAATAAAAATAGTTCTCTAAACCATTTAATTTTATGGACATGGAGCTCTGATGTAAATTATCACCTTGGCAGGAGAGCCTATTCATTGCCTATTCACAAACTGTAGAAAGGCCCCATGGGACAATGATAAGGAAATATTTTTGCTTTAGCCTACTCCAAGAAACATTCTGCTTTAGGGCTTGTTCCACCCAAAACCCTTCTTCACTGAAGCACTGTAGATGTGGAAGGCTGTGAAAGGAGAGAGCTAAAATCTTGCCCAGTGCAATTTGTATCAGACTTCTGGCCCTGCAGCCCAGATTCTACACAAAAATAAAATCTTCAATGAGAGACTCTGTATTCATATGCTTTGTGGAACTCAGGAACAAAAACCAAACCAACCTACCAAACAAAAAAATACCTAAAAAGCACATATTGTATAAATATTTATCCATTCACTTACCCACCACTTGTAAATTTTTAACTTGTTTCCTCTAGAAGCATCTGGGACAGCTAAAATACTTGAATGGAAGAATGGATTTGGTCCAAAGTGTGTATCCAAGTATAGCAAACTGCAAAATGTTCTAGTCACTCATGTATATAAAAAAATTGTTCAAAAGTAAAGGTGCAGAAACGTATTTCTCTCAAATTTCTTATTTCATTTAGCAGCTTCTGGCAAGAAAGCTTTTCTGTAGCAGTTTTTCATTTTGCTTTCAAGGCTTTCTCCCTCAACAGTCCTTCTGCAAAGCTCAGAGCGGAAATGCACATTTAGGACCAGGCTCATGAGATGCTTCCCACTTAAGACATGGAATATGGATCAAATGCTTCTTTCAGCTGTTGCCACTCCTTGGAGACCTTTCAATCTAGCTGCTAGGTAAGTGCAGAAAAGTTACTGCAGCAAGTGGCAAACACAAGAGTCACTAATTGGGGGTTTGGGTTTTTTTTGGGGGGCCAGTACTCCCGAAGAGGTCTTTGTTTAAAAGGCCTATGGTGTTCCCCCGTCAAAATCTCTTTGGAAATGCCACAGAAGACATCATGGAACCCTAACTTGCAAATATTTCTCAACTTGCTCTAAGAATATTAAAGTTATAAATATAATTCAGTGAACGTTTAAACTAAATAAGCATTAGTTAATATATTTTTTTAAAGTGTAATACCAGGTATTTTAAAGAGGAGACATCTGGTAATAGCAGAAACTCACACTTCCTCAAAATTGTGTCAGAGCCCGGAAAAGATGAAGAAACTCTGCAAAAAACGTAAGACATGTCACAGTGCAAGAGTTTAGCAGAAGAATGTCTGCAAATCGAAGAAGAAACCGTCTTTTTAAATTTAGTTTCAGGAACACACTAAAAAAATGAGACACTGTAAATAAGGAAGAAATACTAAGATGAATTTGTATCCCTTTTACAAACATAAGATTTCAAATATATTCACTATTACAGCTGGCAGTGTAACTTAAGGAAAAAGAACTCCTATAAAGAATGTGGGCTGACTTATGACTGCACTCCAATATATTATCCTTAACACGTGGACACACTGGTAGAATTATGAATGATTAAAATGCTGAGAGTTAAGCTTTACTAAAAGCACCACCAGAGGCATTTCTGCCAGCTGCCTGGAATGCTCTGTGCATAATGCTCCTCATGGCTCAGCTTCACAGGCACCCTCAGCTCCAAGGGCACGGCACTGCCAAGGGGCTCCCCCGCCTCCCCATCCTTCTTCGTACTCTCACTTTGCTGCCTCCCTGACTTCAAGGCAACTTGTAGCTGATCCAAATTAAAATTAAATAGACTTTTACTTCCTTCTCAAAATCAAAATGCAAAGGAGCAGGCAGAACCACGAAGCCAGCAAAGCAGAGATGTTTGTCACTTTCTGAAGCAGTACTGTGCTAAATTGATATGAGCTGGCTTTGAAAGGGCACCCTAAGAGTTTGTACAATTCCTGCAAAAATTGCCCAGTTCTGGCAAGTGACTGTGTTTTCCAGAAATATACTTGTATTTCATTTTACAAGAGTAAAGATAAATTCAAATACCAAATCTCTCTGTATAGCTGAAACTAATTATACTCAAATATATTTTGCTAATACAGTGAACTACAATCCAATCTCAACCACAGGGGATAAATACCAATGCTAGCTTGGAGATATCTTAATCTATTATACTCCGAAGTGCTCAAAATTCTAAGAGTAAAGATGCATTTTTCTACTTCACTATTTCAGGCATTCCAGTTAACTCGCATGGACTTAGGTAATGTTTGTTTGAGGAGAAATGCCAGGATTTTAGCATCCAAATTAAGTTTTTTTCTAATTATGAGTTTTCTGATAGTCATTACCAGATAATGATAATAATAATCTAACATCAATTCAATGGTTAAGAAACTTGATTTCATTGGGAATAGCACTTCTCACCAAATCCCATTTCCTCCTCAAAAAGCATTTGTTTTCCCATATGTCCCATCTTATTATCATGTGTATTAATCCTTGAAAAATCCAGGTTTATTATATCAAAGCCATTCAGCCACAAGAAAACAGAGCAAACTGAGAAAAACAGCATTTTAAATGGCATTGAAAGCGATTCCTTCTGTTCAGGCTAACAAGCACGGTACCAAGCACCAGGGAAATGAAAAGCAGAGAGAGCAATTTTAAGGGAAAGTATATTCCAAGAGTGGTACATGAAGATAGAATAAGCATATCAAGTACCTCAGGAGCAGGCTGATGAGACAGAAGTGGTGTGAGGAGATCTGGGGAGTGCATGCACACACAAACCCTTCTGAGAGCTGCAATATGACAATTCACCACAACTTCTCCAACGCCCTCGCGGTTTGCTGCACGCTGGCATTTCAAACAGCTGCCAGGCTGGGGGGATGTGGCCAAAGGAGGTACCCTGGGGGTGCTCAGAGCCCGTCAGGCATGGCCCTGCTGTCTTTCCCCATTGCAGAAGCATGTGTGACAGTGAGAGGTGACACACGTGGCTGCACAGCGTGGCTGCGCTGCTGCTGGAGCTGCAGTGGTGCTTGCAATGCCTGCAGCGCAGCCAGGGCACGGCCTGGCACGAGGAGCGTGTCTCTGTGCCCTGCTGGCACAAACCCTGAAATGCCCTTCCCTGGTTGCAGCTGGCCCTGGGGGATGACTGTCCCAGCCTGGCCAAGGACACCAAGCAGGACCCTGCTCTGCCCAAGGATGCCCCAGGGACTGTGGCACCCCAATGGAGCCGTGCTGCTCCAGCCCTTCAGGGAGGACACAAAGAAGCTCCCAGAAACTGACTGCACAGTGTCAGTTGAATTTCTGCTCCTTGTCATCATCTGGAGGCTTCGGTTCTTCCGCAGAAGTTGAATCAGCAATGTTGCTCGTTCTCGAGAGGTTACAAGAAATGTTGAATGAGCTTGTCGGATTTTTAAACAAGTAGCTGAGTAACTTGCATGAAATTAGTTAAGTATATAGTTTTCCCTTAATAGTAGTAACTTTGTAACATTAGTTTCCTCTTTGTAACACACTTTCAGATTTCAAGGGAATTAATCATAACATGGACTCCACTGCTGTCTGTAACATTTATCAATATTTTGACTATTTGTCTTACAAAAAAAAAATCTTTGTTAAAGAGATCACTGGCAAAATTTTCCAAAGCACTTTCTTCATTCAAAGATTAGGTTAAAAATAATCTATACAATGATTTACTCTCTGAATATTTTTAATGGGGGATTATTCCGGAAATATTCATCCTTTTGTCTTATATTTTTGTGGAATGTAAAGCCTAGATGAGGTTTCCACCAAAACTATTCACTTCACTCCATTGGGATCAGGATTCTTAGAGTATATGTAGAAATATTTGCTAATGTAGGAGCTAATATGTAGTATAGTTCTACTTTTTGAATCTGTTCTTGAGACAACTGTTCTGCAGCCATCCCATGGCAAGAAAAAATTCCTTTATTTCCATGAGAAGTTAACACAATCATATTTCATGTTACTATACTAGGAAGTGTGATGATTACAGAATCCTAGAATAAAGATGCATCTCAAACCATAAGAAGGTCAGTTCTCATTAAAATAGCCAAATTAGCAAGTGCAAATAACCCATAATGGAACTAAGTTGTCTCAGCAAACTTTAAATAGGTCACACCAGCAACTGCCAGATGAAGTTAAAGGACCATTCCACTAAGTTACCCATGAAGAAAAATTCTGTACTTGGACATGGATACTCAAGTGAATTTGTTGAGAAACAGGTTAGAAATACAGGCACCTATCTCATTCAGCTATTTTTGAAATACCAGGCCATGTATTGGCAGAGCACATGATTATTTATACACATACACTTAGGTTTGATATATAAATATGCTAAATACCAGCCTAAATAGCAAACTGCCTTCTGTTGGTTCTCGCCAAAAAGAAACAGCATATTCATTTGTCAACATGCTTTTTGTAACAAGCATTCATCCTCACAGCAAGTGATTCAGCTGGTATAGTAAGTAGTCTCTTCTGGAAAAAAGCCCAACAAAGCACTGAATGTCATGGCAAGACGATTCTCTTGTGAAGAGGAAATACCCAATCAACAAAACTCAACAGAATGGCCTTTCAATGAAAGAAATCACTGCAGGGAGCCAGGTCCTGAAAACCCTGTGCCTTTCAGTGGAGAAGTTGCTCTTTACAGCTGCTACTAAGCTCCGCTCCAGAAAAGCCCATCTCAGTAACAGTTCATAGTCTGACAGTGCTCGTCCACTCCACAGCTCCATTGAAACAGCAGCTCCAAGACCACTTCTCAGGCACCACAGACTCCCAGAAGCAGCTGCTGAGCTATACAACCATCTCTCCTAGAATGGGGTCGTGAACATTTCCTCTTTCTCACTGCTGAAGAACCAGTGCCTCCCATGCCCCAGCACACTGCCCAGAGGCCTCTGCAAACCGTGTCAGCGGAGGATTGACAGTAGCGCCTTCACCTGCTTGGGTGCTGAGAGGGAGAAATCACAGGCAGGGAAGATCCTCCATATGCACAGGTCTGCCAAACCTAAACCTTGCTTATGCCTAGGCCATTCAGTTCTGTACCTAGCATCACAAAACTGAGCTCTATTTTCATCTAAAGAAAGAATGGGTGACACAAGGATCTGTTTCCCACTTCAAAATGAAGTTTGAATTAATTGTCTGAAGACTGTTATTGTTCCGCAAATATTTGGACTACTGTAATTAGTCAGCGTAGTTACTCGAATATCATTGACTACCTGTTTTCTAAGGACAGCATTCCTCTTGGCACAGATGCAAACATCAGTGCATCAAGAAGCTATGTTAATAGAATTAGATTGCTACTAGTTCTGCTAAGACTCAGATAAACTACTACATTATGCAGATAATGTCCAGCATGGCACGTGCAAGAACCTGACTGCACAGCGTCTGTGAATGCAGAGCCCACAGGCTTCTCTCTCCTATTGCTTCAAAGCACAGAGATCTCTGACTGTCAACTATTTTCACATTCATTTTTATGCAGGCTGTTTTGAAATCAACATCTAGTACAGTTGTGCTACTACAACGTAACCCTATCTGTTTGAGCTGCACACATAGATGACGCGTCGATTCCAGATTTATTAACAAGCTCTGTCTACAATGATATCAGTGACTTTTAAGAGAATGTTCTCAAAATGGACTGGAAATATTAAACATTCAAATGTGCATTTGCGAATTGACAATTCTTTCTCTCGTGGACTCTTGTGTTGAAACAAAACACAATCCCTCCTCCGCCTTCCTTTCTTTAGTGACACCCTTCAGTTTTAGCAAAAAAGAATGTTCAACATAATGGATAAGTATCAACCATGGTAGAATGTCTGGGATTAAAAGCAAAATCTTTCTTAGGCAGTCAGTGAAATACACTTATGCAACACAGAACAGCTTCTTTCCAGTGACCCACTAAAAGGATGTTCTAGACATGATGTAGAAAAACAGTGCCATTTCCTTCCTTTGGGAAATCCACAACAATCCCCCAAGAAAATTGCACCAGGGCACAGTAACCCAGAAGAGGACAGAAGTACAAGAAAGAGCTGGTTTTATACGATTTGTTCTTTGATGATTCAACTGAAATTTTGAAAAAAAAGGAGATACTTGCAATCCATTACACCAGTGATAAAACTATCTTCCACCATGAAGACAAGAAGCTGTGTTGCTAAGGGAAACAAATGAGAGGTTAAAATCAACACAGAGGCCTTCAACTTCATAGACTTCCAAGAATCAAAGAAGGCATGATTCCTTGCAAAGCCTTAGCTTTCACAGATTTTTTCTGTCTGTATCCCTATTTCTCTCAGGGACAAGGTTCTACTAGGCTAGAGGGGTTAAGAAGCTTCTGGTTCTTCCTATAAAATGCAATTATTTTTTCTGGCAAAATATATCCTGCCTAATTTTAGAACACTTTCAGACTCCATAGCATCTAATAAGGACACTTGTTGATTGAGTGAATAACTGGTTGCAACAATCAATTTTTGTTTCTATCAGATGACAAATTTTTATGCTGTCTTACTTTCTATAGCTCAAAATACAGGGGATAAAACAAAGGCAAGCCAAGTTTATTTGACAATTATGACAAATAAATTCAGAGTTTATTTGAAGCCTATTAAAGAGCCTATAAAGAATGAAGTTTGTTTTTGTGGCCTCAAATTTATAAAAAATAATTTGAGGTATTAGTTCAAAGGATTCTGACTATTTTGTACACAAATGATTAAGTAAGGAAAGGTCAGGTAAGACATGGATAGTGAGATTACCTAGAGGATGAAGTGTGATCAATCAGTATGAACAACTACCATTCAATCTGGCATGATTCTGTTCTACAATGTTTATATTAAATTAAGACAGTTAGCTGATTTCGTAAGGAAATCTTTGACTTTCTTCCCTATTCTAGATGATTCAGGGTGTAGCATGCTATGAGCGAAGAACAACCCAGGAAAAACAAGATGAATGTCTGGCTCTATAAGAAGAATTCTGTGAGCTTAAGACTGCTTGTCCTACTTGGATAGCTACAATATTTAATTTCTTTTACTTAAGTTTCTAAGATTGACAGTGGTAAGCACATGTTTTATAGCAGCACTGGCTATAACACAGTCAGCTCACAGGGCTGCCTGACAGTCAGCTGAATTATCCAGAATATCAAAGCCGAGCATGATGATTCTGGTTAACATTTTGTACCCTTGCAGGCCAACAGCTTCATGCCATTGAAGCTATGCACAGTCTACCTTTGAGCCTTTCCTATTATTTGCTTTTCCCCTCAGGATGAGCCCATTGATCTTTGCAGCCTATACAAGCTCCTTTTTATAACAAGATAGAGCAGTAGATGTCTCTGAAGGCTTTTTGACAGCAGTTCAGAGATGCTAAAGGTTCAGAGATGCTAAAAGAGGAAGATACTTCCTACGCTGATTATGTGGAGAGCCCACAGCTTCCATAACGCGATTCCGTATGTTGTGTGCTGAGCTGTGACTCATCCAGAGCTGCCAGTAGGAAGTGGTGGGCAGCAGGTTGTGTCTGAGGAGCTGCCTGACTCACAGCACTTCTGAGAAGCATCAGCAGCTGGGCAAGATTGAAAAGGCTGGATTTTTGCAATAGGAATTTCTTTGCAACAACAGTACTAAGCCACTGCACATGGATTGTTCAGGAACTGCATAAACAAGATCATTTTCTCTCATGGACTAATAGTTCTATTAATAATGGAAAGCATGACCAGAAAATATATTTCCTGGAATGACAATCTAAATGTTCTAATTTTATTAAAATTGGATAGACAAAGACTTCCTTTACATGGCAGCAAACTAATTTTCAGAACACAAATTGGAAGTGTAACCTTTTGTGCAGAAATAAAATTTCAGGATTCTGATAAAACAAAGAAAAAACATTATTCATACACGTCCAGCAAACAGAGACCAAATACTTATTTTTCTACAATATTTGTTCAGTGCCTTCATGCACAAATCACCTTGCTATTCTCTCAGCAGCTGAAGATTTTACAACATCCCTCACCTTGAGCTATACTCTTCCTGATCTTGGTGATTAACTTCCAGGAAAAGCCTGAAGGCCTAACCTTCAGCATGCTTAATGCACATAAAGAAAACCACACAAGAAATGCCTTCACAGCATCTGCAGAGCAGTATCAAGTAATAGAAATGACTGCAGGATTGATCAAAAAAATTTTTAAACATAATGCTACAAAATATCCCCCCTGCACTTAGTCATTTAAAATACTGTTCGCACATACGCCCACAAGGACCCCCAACTATGAAATTGGTACCTACAGAATTATACAGAATTTGGGATGAATGCTTCCTGCATTCCTACAATATCCTGTGATCTATGAAACTCTAGACTTGTAAACACAGGCCTATGGTTTATTTATCCAAATATTTAGCACTTAAACATGCAATATACCAGCTGCAATGCATTTAGTACAGGAGAAAACTCATCTGTTTCAGAGTATACTGCCTGAGCAGCATCCACAACAAACCTGGGCTCCATTCTCCTGGGAATATTCAATGAAGTATCTGGGTCTATATTTTCTAGGACTTGGTTGTCTAAGGCAAGTCATCAATATATGCTAACCGCAGTTTTGGATAGTAATCCACTTAAACCTGCAATGAAGAGAAACCTCACATCTGTGAAGACAGAACTTTCTCAAAGCTGGTCTTTCCTCACCTGGGGAATTAATGTCCTGGGAAGTACAGTGTCTCCAAGATCTCATAATCTCATTACTTCCCATTCTCAGTAGAAGGTGGGGGTTTTCCTGCCCATGACTTCTCAAACATTCAGAACCATGTGCATATTAAACACAAATAGTTCCAGATCAAGAGGAATTCCCCAAGAAGAGATTTTTTGGCATCCTTCTGAAAGCAAGCAGCATGTGCAAGAGCGAGGTACGTTCCTCAGGGCACTTCAGAAGGACACCTGAGATCCTACAGAGGTCAAAAGGAGGCAGGTACAAAACCAAGCACATGAAGAGAAATAGCTCATCAGAGAGTTACGGATGCTCAGCAACCACAATTTCTACTGGTTTAGATTCTTTCACTTTCTGTTCCGATGATCATCTTCCACATATATATGGAAACCATTTAAAACCAGAAAATTGTTATCAGTTTGATTTGTCTCTGGCACACTGTGACATTCCGGACTCCCCAGCACACTGCCACCAGCTCTTCGCGTAGTCGCAGTGGAGTCAGCAGGTTCATTCGGCCGGGCTCGCTGCCCGCCGCCCCCCGCCCGGCCCGCGGCGCCCCCGCGGTGCCCGGTCCCGCCGCCCCCGCCCGGCCCCGCCGTGCCCGCAGGAATGCCGCTGCCGAGCGGCCTCCGCGGGTCGCCGCACCTGAGCCGGGGCGGGGACGGGACCCGGCCGGGCCGAGGAGCGGATGGAGCTGGTGCCGGCCCCCGCCGCCACGGCCCCGGAAGGGGTAGCGGCCCCTTCTCGCCCTGCCCGCAGGGGCCGCTGGCGCAGAGCGGCGGACGGAGGCGGAGGCAGCGCCCCGCCGGCTCCGCGCTGCTCCCGCCGCGGCGGGAAGGGCGATGCCGCTTACCGGGATTCGCATCCGTGTGAGCGGCGGCGCGGCCGCTGCCGTGGACAAAGCGCGGGGCGGGGGGCGGCAGGAGCGCCGGCCCGGCCTGGGCCTCCTCCTGCTTCTCTTTCTCTTCTTCCTCCTCCCGCCTCGCCGCGCCGGGACGCGGAGCCCCGGGCAGGTGGCGGCGGACCGGGCGCCCTGCGCCGCCGCAGCCGGGCCGTGTCACGGTGCGGGGCGAAGGGAGGAGCCTGCGCCGCGCCGGGCGGGCGGCGGGGCCGCATCCCGCTCCGCGCTGCGGGTCCGGCCGCGCAGCCCCGCAGCTGCCGGGGCGGGGGCAGCGGGGATGCCGGGCGGGGGCAGGGGCTGCAGGGGTGCAGCACGGTCCGTGCGCGCCTGGGATGTGTCCCCTCCGCATTTCCCACGGTCCCGCTGTCAGCCCGGCCATCACTGAGTCAGTCTTTATCTGCTCGGGTACCGAGGGTATGCACACCTCACCTGGACTCTCCTGAACTTCGGGAAGGGCTGACTGAGGGGAAGCAATGTTAGCACCGTTGCGGAGGAAGCCGTGGGTAAGGAGCAAAAGGACGTAAATTAAACTGAAGATGTGGTTGCCAGTGTGGGGCTGTTGTACCTGGGAAGGGGCATGCTGGACAGGAGGGCCTTCCCTCTACAGGAGAGGAGGTAGGCTGGGTTTCTGAGCAGGCAGGGCAGTGCTCTGAGCTGGCCTAGATCTCTGCTGGGAATGTTCAGCCAATGCAGCAGTTACGCACTCCATGGTAAGTTTGGATGACCTTCTTTTTGTCATTCTGCTCAACTTGCTTGGCAGATATTGATCATATTGATGCATTTCCTGGACCCCAATCCTAGACATGGAAGGCTAGACATGGTCTAAAATATTTGTATTTAGCTCATCTTGCACCCCCAAGCACAGTAGTGTAATTTTCCTTCCCTCCTTTCATTGTGTGTGAGGCTGTTCTGGCTGCTTGGCTTCCCAGCCTTGAAGTTCCACTCTTGGTGCCAGTGAAGTGAGACAACAGATCTTGGTCCTGGCTTTAAGAACAGGAGGGACTGATTTGGGCGAGGAACAAAAATCCAGTATGTTCAAACACCTACCTTATCTTGGATTTGGCTGAGAGAATTATGAAAATAGAGGCTCCAGTCTATGTCATGGAGGGTTTTTAGGGGACCTGTTGAGTTAGTCCTATCCTGAAGCAGACATGGAAGGGACATATTCAGTGCTGCAAGGATTTTCTCTGGATAGCTAAGGGTTTTCCAAAGGGAAGTGTAAAGAATGGGCTTTCCTGTTGTCCAGAACCTGTGCATTCCAGAACTACATTTCTGATGGATGACAATAAGAAGATAAAGTTTGGTTGCAGGAAACATTGGTAAATGGAGGGCCTATCAGATGGGTATTTGGAAATTGTCTTCTGTTAGAAAAATTGGCAATTCTTTTGTAGAACTCAGTTATGTCAGAGATGAAGTTAGGCTGAACATTAGATTGATTTAGGTGTTCAGTATTGAAGACATGTACATGGTGTTCTTTCCCTAGAACTGTTGGTCACTGACCTGAAATGTTTCCCTGTAACCTCTTGCAGGGTGTGCCTGTGGCTGGTTCTTCTTGTACAGCAGGGGGAGATGCTCTAGAAAAGTTTGAACTTGATGTCCTGGGGAAGCCCTTGGTGGCTGCTTCCAGGATGAGTAAACTTAATTTCAGACCAGTATCCACACAAACACATTTTGAGGAACTGCTAGATCCACCTTCCTTCACCTCCCTGAAAGGGCACTGTGTCCCCACTGCTTTATTTGGTTGGGCAGAGCTGTGTGCTCTGGTTCATGTTCGTAGAATCAGTCCTAGTTCATGGTTAGCCCTGACTCTGCAGAGAGGGTGAAAGGAGTTTAGTGCTGTGATTCAGTTTTCTTCCCTCCCTTCCATTGTACATTTTGTGCAGTCACACTGTCAGGTTCATCCTGTGCACCCTGTCTGAATGCTGGGTGGTGCTGCAGAAGTGTGAATGAGAGCAGAGTGAAGGGCTTTGCTGCCACATCCTTCAGAGAGGCCTTCTCTTCCTCTTTGCCTAAGCTGGAATTGGGGATCCTACTCCCCCTCCCTTCAGACCCGAGCCCGTGTCTGCATGGGTGCAGTGTTTGTTGTGCTGGCTCTGCCCTGCTGCTTTATGGAGCTGGGCCAGGTCTGTTGTGAGCTCCCTGGGATTTATAAATGATGTGGTGTGGGCAAGAGAAGCCACTCTGTGTCTTGGACTGCAAACATGCCCAGAAGTTGAGAACTCAGTTCCCAGTGGTACCACAGGTTGCTAGAGGAGGTGTGTCATTTGCATATGTTTGCATGAAGGTGGCCTTTGCATATGTTTCCTATATTACAAGAGACAAACATGTTTTGTTTATGTTGCTCTCTATCTCCCAGATTATTATCAAATGGATTTCAATTTCCACAAGTTTGACTGAGGAATCTGGGCTTATGCCCCCACCCAGAAACATCCACAGTGCCTGAGCTCTCCTGACTTGCCCTGTAATGATGAACCCTTTGGTGTGATCTGTACCCCCTGGAATAGCCTCATAGGTGAGCACTGACATGATGAGCTGAGGACCTAGAAGAACTTCAACTTCTTTTCTGACAGTGGCAGGAATATTAATTGAGATGGATGCAGTTGTCTTTTGTGTACAGTTTGCTGCTATGCCTGCATCTTCTCAATCCTCAGTTGCCAGGTTATGAACATGAAGAGAGTTGTGCTCTTTGGAGTAAGACACTCCTGTCTGCTTAGACGCCAGGGTAGTTTTACAGATGAAAATCTTTTGGGTCTTCCTTGCTGCTGTTGGTATTGTGGGGAGAAGAAAACAGGTGAAATGCTATCAGGATGACAAATGATTCAACTTCAGCAAAGTTTGGTAAACAGAGAAATTATCTCTCATTTTAGGTTTTCAGGGGAAATCACCTTTGTCTCAAGTGAAGTATGTAGTGCAGATCAAAAAGGAAACAGAAAATTAAATCTTTGAAAAATCAGTCATATAAAAACTGAAATCTTCCAAAGTAAGGGATATCTGAAGTGTTCTATCTAATATATTTATATTTTCAGTGGTCATTCACATGTACCTCAGCTTCTTCAGAAAGACTGCAATCATCAAAATAGTGAAACACCATAGAGAAGCAAAATATTGCAAACCAATTGTCAGTAGTTTGTAAACCTCTATACCTATCCCTATACCAATAATCAACTGCTAAATAGAAATCTCTAGGGTTTCTACTGCATGAATTAAATCCCTCTGTGGCACTTTAAGCATATTTTTTTAGTAGTTCAATGATCTTCAGATACATTTTCTCAGTTGCATCAAGGCCCCAGAGGAAATCAAGATGTCCCCATGCAGGAAAATGCTCATGGTAAATGAGATTAGTAATCCGAGGAAGCAGCCTTGCCATGTCTGTTTGGTCTGCAAATTTGTCCTGTCCACCACTCCAAACAGCAGTTGGTATCTTTAGCTTCTCTATGTTGTACTCAGGAGGAGCAGTCTGTAAGACAGGGAGGAGACCTGGGTGAATGCTGCTGTATCAAAGTTGTGCTTAGAGAAAGGTTTCTGTGCAAGCACCTCTCTTTGTCTTTTGCTTCTGCGCTGCCTCCAGTAAAACCATAAGGATGAAGGCCACCCTATTATTGCTCATTGCCCTAACCCCGTTCCCTGCCTTGCTTGTCATCACAGAAGAAGTTAAAGAAACACATTAGGTTAAAATGGAGATCATCTGAGATCTGAACCAAGTGACTTAACGCAGGATGGTTATTTGTCAGTGTGGCAAGGTACCATGCACAAGATGTTTTGAAACTTACCCTTATCAAAGGGTGGTTTAGTTATCTTTCTTTTTGACTGCTTTTTGGGCCATTTCCTAACTTTACACAGTATTGGAAATAAAACATTGCCCTTTTCAAAATTTAAACTTCAAGTATTTAAAGACTGTATGGGTATATGAAAGGTGTCTGAGAAGGAAGGTGTCCTTGGAATCTTTATCCACTAGTAAAATAATTTGCCCCTCTTAAAAGAACCTGCCCTGACTCACAAAGTGCACTACAAGTTAACTGATTTGATCAAACCTCAAAAAATAATCAGGCGAGTTTTAAGAGTTGCATGAGGAACAGAGCATTTTCAGGTGTTGACTACAGAGTAACTAAAGCTCCAACAGACTAAATTTTACCTGTTTCCTTTTTTCCATACAGGGTACTTTAGTTCTCTCCAGCAGTCTCCAGTATGCCATACTGAACAATCCCTTAAGTCTAATTTTTACAGCAGGTATCCTCTGAAAACCAAGGTATGCATTTCCACTTTTTTTTCCTTTTCCATCCCCATTTTAGTGTTTAACTGAAACGCAGTTTGAGGATTTTTGGGGAAGAGCTCTGTACTCATCCAGTCCTAAGACCTGGGTATGACTCTTAGCCTTTAGGGAATGGCAGGCAAGCTGACATGTTGTTGGACACATCCCTGCATCAATAGGGGAAGTTGCAAGAATCTATATGTGCTGTGTTGGTGAATAGACTGACAATTATGAGAATTAGATTCAGGTGAAGCTTTACCTAAGACCACCCTTCCCTTCTTTTTGTAGCATTCAAGGTGCTAATGTATGAATTTTTCTATTAGTTTTGCCAGGACCTAAGGATGAGTTCTCAGAAAAATGAATTGCCTTACCTGGTTGTATTTCTTCATGTTTTCCTTACAGCCGTAGTCATAAGCTTGAAATCGATCTGCATGTTTTATCTGTTAATATTGTAACAAGGACAAATGAAGTGAAAATGTTAAGAGACAGAGTGCAGGAGTTGTTTTCTTGCATATGAGTGAACTTGAGTCTCTGTCAGTAGACATTCCAGGGATACTGAGGAAGGATTGTGGTATAAGTGGTTTCACCACCTTTCCCCTTGCTAACGTTTTCTTCTGAACTTCAACCACTACCCTTGTTATGTTTAGTTACTAAAGCCTTGCTGCCCTATCTTAACTGGCTCTTTAGTTAGCTAACATAGCTCTTTGTGATGCAGGAGCATGTCAGGGCTCTCACTAGCCTGGGATACCTCCTCAAAATCCTGGATTTTGTGTGCCTACTTGGTCTGGTCTGGTCACAGTAGCAGCAGCGATATCAGAGGCTCTGAACTGCATACAAGAATATTGGGAGCAGAGTGTGATTACCTTAGCACTAAACTGTTGTCTTCTGTGATTTGTCTAAAAGGAATATCAAAAGAATAAAGGATTAACCTGTCTTACTGATAATGTCTGTGCTTTTTTTTTAAATCTAAACCTCTAAGTAACTGAGGATATGACAGAAATCTGCTAGCTCATTTCTGTTTTCTGGCTTTAGGTGCTGGGTTTCTGGTCTGGATACCAGGAATTTTATGCAGGGGATATACAGCAGCACACATGTATTTAAGGGCTGGTTTAAGTGGCACAGTTCACTTAGAGTTCACTTAAGTTCACAGTTCACATAGAGTGATGCATTTCTGAGCCAATGCCATCTTGTCCTGGTCGGATTTGGAGCCTAGGCAGAGCAAGCTTAGGTTTGAAAGTGGCATGAGGTGGCAGAAGAGGCAGTTCCCAATTTTGCCATTGTGTCAGCATAAGCATTTGTGCATTAAACTGGCTTTTGGAGTTAATCAAGGCTGCAATTAATCCTCTGGGAGACAAGCTTTAACCTAGATCACTTTGGTTCATCCCTGACTGTAAAGTTCTCACTTATGCCACCTGCCAAGTGACTAGACTGTGCTGGTGTTCACTTCTGCAGCTTTTTGCACACATCTCCATAAATAAGGATGAAGGCTGGAAGCCATTAGAGCCGAGGGAGGTGTGATGTGCCCTGGGGAAATCTCAGAGCCTGATGACAAAGGGGAAATTCAGGGAGTGGTCTGGTGAACCATGGGGAGCAGGGCTCCCTCTGTGACAGGTGAGATATGATGGGCAGATTTCCAGACCTGTCGCCTCTGGATTTCCCTGTTGGCTGTCAGTTGCATAAAAAGCCGTACTAAGAGTGTTTATATGTCAGCACACTTGTACCTGCTGCCAATGAATAACATTCTGTACTGATGTTCCAGCTGGGTAATGTCCCGCGTATGAATCTGTTCGACTCTGGAGACAAAGCAGAAGTGTTATGAAGGCAGAGATCCAGTGCTCTGATATAATAAAACCGTGAAGGCCCTGAGCAAGATACTGCTGCTGTGTTAAACCCCCCTTTTTATAGGACATTCTTCAGATATAAAAATGAAAGCTGAGGAAAGATTCACAAATACACTAGTTTACAGTAGGAATGATTACATAGGATTTTTTTACCTTTGGAATAATCTTTTCAATATTAGTCCATAGCCATAGAGAAAACATCATTTGAGAAGCATGTATGGCCTTTGTTTTCCCAGTTTCTATGATTTTTATGATACTTTTAAATAGTGCTGTGCATAATGAGTAGAGAAAGATTGTTAATAAGCAGTTTGCTTCAGCATAATGAAGCTGCATGTGTGAGAGCTTTTCATGGGTACACTTGTTAAATAGTCTGAGAGATGAAAGGTGACTGGAGAACAGACATGTGAAAGGTCTGTAAGAACAAGAGGTATCAGCCAGACTAAAGGAATTCAATCTTTCTGCTGGGAGAAGCGTGAAGAAACAGCTCTTAGTTTTGGCTGGAAATGTTTCAACGTGTAGCAAGCAAAAATAAACCATCTCTTATCTTCAGAGGAGTCATATATCTTGTTGTTTCGGAAGGAAAATATATGAATTTGTGCAAAGGATAAAAAGATCTTTGTCCAGTTGCCCTTCAAAGCTTCTTCAGATTTCTTGCATTGAGGCGCTTACCGTGTTTATATTTTGTATCCTGCCCCCAGCGATGTAGCTGAAGATATTGCCACAAACTTTCCCCAGACATGCACAGAACTGTGTTACAGGTCCTTTCATCAGCTCACTGTATTGAAGAACTCCTTTGCAGCCAAGTAGTAACTGAAGGGAGGAAAAGTGCAAAACTTTTCTTAGCTGTTGCAAGATTATTTCATGCAGAAAACTCCCTCTTCCTTAAGTCACTCTCTCTTCTTTAATAGCCTTGCCTCTTCATGAGAGGCAAGATAGCTGAAACTGCTTGTTATCCCACTATCCGTTATAGTGTGTTCTTCCCAAGGGCAGAGCACCTCTTCCTCCTTCTCCTTGAGACAAGTTCTGGAGGTCACTATCCCTCTTTTTAGTGTACTGATCTCAGTGAGAAAGGAAGTTGGCAGCACTGATGGCTGCAGAATACAGGAAGTCCCTTTTTGCCCTAATATTTTTTTCCTGGCAGGTACATACTGTGCTGTGATTACCACTCCTAAGTAAAGAGGGACCAGACAAATGAGACAAATGAGAAGAGTGTAGAGCTCAATGCTCTATAGTCACATCATGGGCGCAGCTTGGACAGAAAGAGGATGTGCTTCTGTGGTTTGACATAAAGTATAGCATGCATGATTTCTGCATTCCTAGCAGATTCTATTAAGTTGACACCTTCTGGTGTTTAAATTCCATTTATCACTTTACAAGTAAATACTTTATGGGCATAAATGATCTGCATGTCTGATGAAACTAAGATGTGAAATATTTTATAAGTGGTTTTTATTAGTGCTTAAGGCTAGATTTAATAGACTATATTAGATTTTTTTTTTTGTTCTGGTATTTGGAAGTTTTCTTCAGAAATATTTGACTTAAATAATGATGAAAGAAAGTATGCCTGCTACCTTCAAGAAATTGCAAAAGCAATACTCTGTGAAACCTTGCAGTTTAGCTCTCTGGAAAGTCTGAAGTCTGATACGCTGAATTAAATTCTAACTGATCACCCCCTAAAAGTTCAGGCTGACTGAGTCCAGTAGAGAAAAGCAGACAATTGTTTTTCTCTTTAGAAGGAGGAATTACTTACCCTGATCAGTGACTGGGGAAACCGGGTAATTGTTATCAGAGGACTGGTAGCATGTGTGATGGTGACCACTGGTGCCAAAGCAAAGAATACTTTAATCTTCTGACACAGCTCAGGATAAGTAGAAAATGCTATGAAGCCTGCAAGCTCAGAAAAGGAAGTCAAGTTGATGAAGAGATCTCCACAGACCAAATAAATAAAAAAGCAGTAGGTAGCAAAGGAGTGAGACTAGATTAGCATCCCATTGGCTGTTTTCTATTTCTGTGCTGCAGACCTAAAGAGAATGTTTGATTCTTGCTTAAAACTTTTTTTTGGAAGATAAAGTTCATTCTAAGGTCACAAGCTCATTAGAACATGTCCTGATACTGCTTTTGTCAGAACTGACAATTTTGTGTTGAGGCCAGTTTTGGTTGAAAAGGTATATTAATCAGATTTTAGAAAATCAAATTCTCTCTAAAGTACCCTAAACTCAAAATAAAGAGTTTCTCAGCTTGCAGTCTCTAAAAGACTGTGCATGGGTATGCCAGCATTCAGCAATACAATAATTATCTGAAGATTAAGAATAAAATTTTTCCTTGTGATTAAGCACATACTTGCATGAAAATGAATTCACACATAAAGGAAGAGTATAAGGAAGGCTTTTAAGCTAAAATGGGTTTGTCCCATCCTGTTTTCTGAATGTGTATAAATTTCTCCACTGATGGATTTAACTAGCTGACATAATTATCTGAAGACAATGAAGGTGGTGACTTCGTCTGAACTAGTAATTCTGTAAAAAGGCTCTTAGGATGCACACATGGGAAGAAAGGAAAATGATTTTCTAATAATGCCACTTTCCCCAATTTTCTCCTCTGTTTCTGAGTTTGTTTTTCTAAAAGGAAAATTTACACTGTAGCATAAACCCCAGAGTCTGCTCACAGACCTTATGTATAAATCATAAACACTAACACTGACTGTTTGGTACTCAGACAGTTCTAACATTACCTGTAGCTGCCCCTTCAGAGTGACCAATATAGGAAAAATCCTTTTGTCCAGTTTTATTCATGATGAAATTCAGCTCTGCAGGAATGTCGTATTTACCTATCTCATCAAAGCTGTGGAGAGAAACACAAAAAGCTGGCAGACAATTTGACTGTCACGCTGTGAGTTACTGACTGTCAGTTTTGCCCATTGCACCAAGCAGGACCCATTGAAGGAGGAGGCTGCACACTGTGTCTGCATCCTTGCTTGAGCTGGGGGAGTGGGCAGAGGGGTGCAGCTGTGCAGCCTGGCTGCCTGATGGGCTCTGTGTGGATGAAGTGCCAGTTTCACCTGACAGCTGCAGCCCCTGGGGAACTGAATTTTATCAGTGCTTTCACCTGAATGTGCTACAAGAAATAGTTTTCTCTCAGATAAATTTATCTCTCAGATAACAACAAATCTGTAGTAGATCAGGTTTCTAGACTGAGCTGAGCTGTCTCCTGTCCTTTCTGCATTTGGGACATGGTGTGTCTGATGGGAGACTTCAAGGTTACAGATGTCTCCCAGTTTAGGAAGCCTTTTCCCAAAGAAACCAGGATGGTGTATGGACAAAGGTGATCTGTGTACTTCCAGCTTTGCTTCTGTGTGTGCTGATTCCAGAAGAGCCTATCCAGATCATGCAGCCAATTCCTTCTTATAACCTCCCTGATATGTCCAGGAGTGGCTGCATCTGTGGAAAAGAGTTCGTCTAGTCTCCTTAAATGTTGCATGTTGCACTTGAAGTCAGATTATATGAAAACATGTAGTGTTTCCATTTAATTCAAAAGGGAATTTTTTTCATATAGCCAGAAGGGGAAAGGTTCTGCATTCTAGTAGCAACTGCCTAATCTTGCTAGTTCCCTGAAAGCTGCTTTCTTCAGAAATTCTTTCTCCACAGAGTACCTGAACTGCCAGAACTCCTTCTGGCAGGGTTTGAGGGTCTTGTGTTTTAAAGACCAGGTGTCTCCTCGGCTGTTTCCCAACCAGACATCATAGCCAGCATCTGCAAGGATGAAGCCCAAGCTGTTGTTGGGCAGGTTGGAAATCCAGTGAGTAGCATCTGCTAAAATGCCATGATGTAGCAAGACTGCAGGCTTCCTCCCTAAAACATAAGAGATTTTAGGCTGTAATAGTAATAGGGAATGTGTAGTTAAAACGGAGGTGCAGAATTTGGTTTTACAGGAGTGTTTTAATATACAGTATTCAGGCTGCATTCTACGCTGAATGACTGGGTGCCCTTGCTGAGATGGCAAGATATGTAACTTTGCATATGCAAAGGGGAGGGTGGAGAATCCATGTAAGACTTGACTCTCAGGCTGTCCTTATACCCTATATATCATACCTGCATTTTGGGCGTTCCTTCCAGCAGGAATTCTGTAAACAGTAAGAATGTATCCATCCTCCGTTGGAACTTCATATTCCTCGCTAGGGAACCCATGATATCTGATGATTTCACTCTGTGAAAAGCCAAAGGATAGTTTTTTATCATGAATTTACGGTGTAGTTATTGGTGTAAGAACTGTAAAGCTAGCCAAGAACATGCCAGGAAGATAAATGTGATAGCATATTGCTAGCCTTTCTCTACTGCTCTGTGTTGTAGTGGTAGGGACGAACACCAAAAAGGATTCCTGCAGGAAAACAAACCCCAGGTCTCTCTTTTTTGTGGATGATTCTATAGCTGCTATGCTGTAGCCATGGAGGCTGGAGGATGCAAACAGCAGTGAGAGGAGTTGGGATAGATTTCTGTGAAGTGGTTTGTGTATTCGACATAATGCTTACTATCACTCAAATTGTAGTAATTTCTGTAGCTGTGGCACTCAAGCACCACACAGAATTATAGGAGTAGCAGGATGCAGTAAAGTCTTCTAAGACCTGCTTAGATGGTAGTTGTCTGGAATTTGATTCTCCATTATGGGACAAAGTGAGTGACTAACCTTTTGGGAGATAGTTTATCCTGTTTTGCAAGGCTGGCACAGGTCTGTAATATGATATTCTGCCTTGGAATGTGGTCAAACCACTCAAATAATGTCCTAATTTGCAAGCTATCAGTGGTGGGCTGAGAAGGAGCACCATGTGTTCCTGTTGGTGTTGAATTATGCTAAAACAGGTCTGATGCATCAACCCCAAATTAGCATCCTGATAATGAAATGAAGATCTGGCAAAGATAAACTGCTATGCCAACCTGGAGACATAAGGTAGTTAATCACTTTATACTTTCCAAGTCCAGTCCACTTTCATATGGTTAAGTTCTCCTAATATATCCCTTCATGGAGTGTGTATGAAGATTTCTCCTTTGGGTTGGGACACCCCCTCAAAGTTACTCCTTGAGGCTGAGCAAAAGAGATTTTGCTCACAGTTGATGTTCTCCTTATCTCCTTATAACAGTTGATGTTATCCTTATGATGTTACATAAATCTCTTCTTTAATAACGGTTTCTTTTTGCTAGCTTTAATACAATTGCTTTTATATGATTGTATATTATTGCATTGTTATAACACATTGTCCTATATTATCTTATAGCAGTAGTTTTAGCTACTCTTCTGTGTAATAAAAAATTCTCATTAGGATAATTTTGTCTAATCATTAATTATAATAAATAATTATTTTTTATATAAATATATTTGATTAGTCCTGCAGGACAAGGTTGAAGAATGGGTCAATCACACCTTTATAATTCCTTAGCCTTCAGCAGTGAGAGTCAGAGGCTAAGACTGGATTCAGCTGCACCCAAACTCCTCTTTGAGAAGGGAGTTTGGAAATCAAGGGGATCCTTTCAGCACCTCACGAATCAACAGAAGGGCTTCTCTAATGAACTTTGTCTGAAGTTCCCACTCTCCCCACCACAAGGTTGTACCTTTCTAGACAATAAACGTGCAGCAGTATCTCTATCTGACCACAGTGAATCCTTTCTTGCCCAAGTGTGGTTAAGCAAGCCATAAAGGGTGGATCTCCCATTTCAGACTCACAGCACCACCTACTACACTGCTGCCACAGTGAGGAAACTTTGTTGATTCAGAGCAAAGAGTTTTTGTGAGAATCTGCTGTTTGAAGAAGGGGCTCAAGCAACCTTACCCCTGTGCTAGGAAAACAGGTTGTTACAGAAGGGCAGGCCTTGGGAGTAGAAGCCAATCTTTGTTTCCACCCCAAAGGAATTCTTCTCTCTAGCTCAGGCTGTTTGGATAGGAGCATCAACTTTTCCTTTAGGTCCATGATGCTGGAGGGACCCCTTTGAAGGGAACTTACTTTAGCCTCCTGATAGGCACTGTTAGGCAGTGGTAGTGGTAGTGGGAGAGATGCTTTAGAAAAAGTGAAAGAAAATGACCCAGCTTACAACATTCATGAAACATTCCGGGTTGGGGCTCTTCTTGCAGCGGCTTTTGTCAACACCGGCCGTGGAGGCTGCTGTGAATCCTGCTGAAAAGGCAATTCCTTGGGAGCAGAGCAGCACGAGGAGGCACCACATCTTGGGGCTGTGTGGAAGAGCACATGCTCTTTGTTCATTAGGAAGAGAGTGGTGTGGAATTCCACAGGAAGACCCAAGAGGGGAGTCTCCTGAAGGTTGCCCAAGGTCTGTTTCCCAAGGGCTGCCAGAATAGGTACCTGTGTAAAGGCAGGATTGTCTATAGCTTTTCCTATTTAGTGTGGACCACAAATGAGTCAAAGGCTCCAGGATGAAAAGGAACCAACCTGGGGGCCTGTGTTTATGTGTCATTGATGCTAGTTTGTGATGATACCTTCCTTTCTCTCTACATATAGTCTTTTCTATTGTAAATCTGTCTTGGAGAAAAGGCTGAATTTGCCTGGATTTTAGGCATTGTCTGGTGGTCACAGTAAAGCTTGTCTGAACAGAAACCATAGTGCTCTCTGTATAGCTAATGTGCCCTACTTTTTGGCTGTAGCCACCTTTTGTAATTAGCATGGATGAAACAGGTCATAAACCCAGGGTGTCTTATCTGAAACACTGTGGGGGAGATCATTAAGATTTGGAGAGTGTGGTTTCCTCAGAATTTCTTCAGGAGGGAGGGAATGCGTGGGTTGTCAATTATTTTTATTTTTTATTAAATCTATCATATCCCTTGAGTGACCGCATTTGGATTAAGCTACAATTGGAATACTATAGATAGATAGATAGATAGATAGATAGATAGATATCATTATATATTATTAGAATATATATACAGTGTAATATTATACTTTGAATATTGAAATGTAAACTCATTGTGGCCTATGCACTTTGTAGGAGAACACTCTAATTCTTCTGTCAATACAATAGAAATCCTCCTACCTGTGTGCTCTGGAAGCACAGTTTCACAGTAAATTTTCACTGCTTTCTGCTATTTTATTTAGTTCCAACAAAAGTAAAAAAACACATTCCTCTTTTTCTGTGTGTCAAGCGTTATTTGGGAAAAAAACTAAAAAGCTCAGCATAAAATAAAGTAAAGATGAAGCTATGGGGTAGCTAAATTATCACCTTTTTAATGGTGTGCAGTTTTCTAAATACTGTACTGAATATGAAAGCTTTGTAAATCAGACATAATGCACCAATCAACTCCAAGGCTTGGCACACAACTGTCTCATTAATCTCAATAGCTAACTCATGACTGTAGGAGCCTTGAACGATAATCTAGTCTTTTTATGCAACAGAACAATGCCACAGAGTGACATTTACTAATTTACTATGGCAAACTGGAAATAACTGAAATACTAAAAAAAAAAAAAAAACCAAAAAAACCAACCAAAAAACAAGAACCATATATATATATATATATATATAATATATATATATATATATATATATATATAAATATATATATAATAGAGGAAGGTGCCTGAAAGATACATTCAAAAATGCTATTTCTTGAGGTTTTTGATATTAATGAAAACAAACCTTAAACCTTCTAGAAATTCATCAGTGTACTCTTGAGAGAGTCATATAGCCTTCACATACACTATAAATGGGACAGAAAGACACCAGGTTAGCAGGTGTCAGAAAATCTGGGTTAACTTGCAGGGAAAACTCAAATGCTTTTGGAACTATAAGAACAAGATTTATTTAATTTATATACATGTTTTCAATGCTGAGATTTCCATGCATCTGCAGTGACATCCCTAGGGGAAAAAACCATGGAGAACAAAATGAAACAATTAATTACTCCTTTTTCCCATTTGCATGGGCCAAAGGCTTTTTCCTCTCTACCTCTGGCTCACCTGCCCTTTGATGCAGGGCAGTCAGGGAGGATGGCAGCTGGCTGCTCTGAGAACCAGCTGCACAGACCCAGGACAGCACAGCTGTATGGAGACAGGCAAGGGAGGAAGAGAGCATGGATGCAAACATACAAACTTACCTCTGGTTTGACTCGTGCTTGCACCTCCTGCTGCAGTTGCTGGTCAGTCTCCTGCCAGAAGCTTGTGCCAGTAAAAGGAGTAGAGCAGTAGAGTTCTGTGTGAGATCTGCATGCATAGGAGAGCATGTTTAAGTGCTGCTTGTTTGTCAGTATTTAAGGAGTGGACTTACTCTGTGATAAATAGCACCGTTGCATGATATTATGAAAGACCAAATTGCACCATGGATCTGGTGAAGTAAAAAGATATGAAACCTATCATTAGAATACTTATAAGGAACTTGGTTATTGTTCCCTGAGGCTGTGGCAGATCTTTGTCTGTACTGCTACCTGTCTTAGTAAGTGCTGTAACTCCTATATTTTGGGATAATAAGGAGAAAGAATCCATCTTTTCTCAAAACTTTCTAGCTGTGAATGTGATCTCTGCTGCTGTGGGTAGTACAAAAGCTGTTTTGGTCACTGGTTCTGCACCAGTTGTTTGTTTTCTGAATTGCTGATTGCTTGGGGACAATCTCTGTTAGATAATCTTAGAATAAAACCAGAAGTGATTTGAAAGGTGTGAACCCCACAACGTACAAAAAAGAGTTTGCTCTGAATTACCCTGCTTCTGTAGGGATTCTCAGGTACTTAATTAATTAAGTTTGAAAACATTGTTTAAACTTCAAGTCAAAAGAGGGTGCTAGCACCAATTCTTATTATTTCCAAGCCACCTTGATGAACTCTGTGAATACAATACATTAGAGACCCCTTCCTATCCACTGAATTAATTGAAGTCAACCTGGGGGGCCTGATCCTACTGAAACTGGCCTGGCTTCTTGATTGCAGCAAATTCTGCTAATGGGTGTTAATGATATGCTTCCTTGCCTGGGAAAATGAATGAAGTAAGTACTTAGTAGACAAAACCTGAGAGTCACCGCAGAAGCAAATCTGCTTTATGAAGTAGGGCACAGTCTGTGGAAAAGCCAAAAAGGTGATTTCTCAACGAAAAGCATCACAGCTCAGCAGGTCTGATACCTCCACTTGATGAGAAATATTGAAGACTTTGCTCTATTCCCAAATAACACCATCCTATATTTTTTGTTTTATAGAATTGCCAGCTGGGAATGATCTGGAACATTTTACCTATATCACCTTGTGGTGGTATATGGGATGTATGAGATATTTTCTGATATTGTTGATGGGAACCACGTGAAGAGCAAAAGATATGTTAGCCCAAAGGGAAGAGAGAATGAAAGTAATGCATATAAAAAGAGAATAAAAACCACAAAGCCTAGAAGCAGAAACTTGCCAGGATGGACTGTCCTTACTCAGAGAACCAGGGCAGCTGAGATAGTAAGTATTCTGTTTTAAAATGCTGTGGCAAAACTGAAGTCCAGGTGGTCTGGCCTGGAGCTGGCCATAGCATCAACTGAGTTTAGGGTTATAAAATACAGGCTCTGGTCCGTGCCACAGAGGGGTTTCTTTGTGCTTGTTGGGTCTGTTGAGTCAATCCTGTCCTGCAGCACAGGCGCAAGGGACCCTTGCAAGGATGTTGTATAAGTGGTTAAAAGTCTTCTGAGGGAAAGTGTAAGGTGTCAGTGTCCCTCTTGTGCAGACACTGGCCATTTCAGGACTGCATTTCTTGGGAATATGCATTTGGGAGGACTGTTCTGCACACGTCTCCAACAAGCCACAGGTTGCTTTCCTGAGAGCAATGTAACTCATGTGATTTGTGGCAATACAAATTCTAGTGCTTGGAATTTAAAGAGACAAATTATATTCTGTGATATATTCTTGTATTGAATATGCTGTTATTAAGCTATTGATATCTAGTTTAAAAAATTAATTTAGCTTATTGTTGCCCTGGTGAAGGTCCTTCTGAAAAATATTTAGCTCCCTTCTGGTTCACATGAAACTTTTGAAGTGTTGTTGAATTCTGTGAGGAAGTAAGAATCATGTTTTCTCCACAGACTGGCTAGGGGACAGTTTGCCCGTGCACTGTCTTGACACCCTTTGGAATAAAAAAACCCTTATTAATAAAAAATAATTTTTTCAAGATTCTAATCTTCATTTACAAGTATGGCAAAGAGCACTGAAGCAATAGGTTAATCAGAAGTGAACCTGAGACTGTATGCATCTATATACATTTGCATGAGTTTCATACCTCAGCATGGGCTGCTTAAGTGTTCTTCAGTTGAAGCTTAGACCAAAATAGTCACTTCAGTGATTTTTAAGAGCACCTGAGATGTGATGGATTGAATGGTAAATTACACTGTCTTGGGAAAAGTGTTGCCTGAAGCTATTGCTGTGCTCTGGGCTTTTTATTTTTTGTTTGTTTGTTTGTTTTGTTTGCTGGGGTTTTTTAAAATACCTTTTCAGATTACCATACATTTATTTATTTTTGTTAGGAAGATATTAATTAAACTACTAAGTTGCTTTATGTAGTGTCTTAGTGATTCAATATTTCTTTCAACAGGTTGTAGTTTATAAATTCCAACAAGAAGGTCAATAGACGTGGGAGGAAGTGAATGTCTTAGGATCTTGATGTGGAGAAGACCTTGATGAAATACTGGTAAGGAAGACCTTTTCAGCTTGGAGGTGTTACTCACTCTTCCATGTCCTTAGTCTAACGTCATATTCACCACATGCTTGGAGATGAGTTTGGTGTAAGGATCCCAGTGAGTCTGTCACAGATGGGTGTTACGTCTGTGGCTGATACGTGCCAACCTAACTTTCTTCTGATAAACAGCCACTGAAAGGGTTAGAACTGGTGCCAGCAAAAGAACGCTACAGCCAGTAGCTGTACTAGTTTAATTAGAGAAGGCTGGAGATGGTCCTCCACCTTGCTGAGAATCAATATGAAAATTATTTGGAAATAGAAGTTGCCAAATGTAAGGCAGAGAGCTTGGATTTAAGATGCACTCTTACATGCATATGTTTTAAAACTTTTTAAAAATTTTGCTTTAAATACATGAAATGTGATTTAAACTATAAAGGGAAAAGATATTTTTGAGGTGAATACAGAAATTTGAAATAGACATGCCTTGCTCAGAAAGACTGAGTGTAGTACAGAAATGCTATCAGCATCTTATCCTCAGGGACATCAGTTATAATTCTGTTCCCAATTAGCATATAAAATTACTAGGTTGAACATGAATCATATTCATTGGTTGGGCTGGGCTAGAAGGAGAAGACTGAGCAAAAATGATGAAAGCCTGTTTAATTAAAGAGTGAGACGCTAATTATACTGGGAGTTTTCATGCAAGGTGTGGGTTTAGCTGTTTCCCCCTTTTCTGACAGGCATTTGAGGTGTTCTTGCAGAAGGTTTGGAATATGTTTTGATTTTTGGACCCTCTCTCCCCTTTTAATGCCTCCATTTCTTTTCTTGTGAAACTTTCTTGCCTTCTCTCTCCCTTCTCTCTTTGACCTGTTTTGCTACTTTCCTTTTTAGGTAACTGGAGGCTGCTATTGCAAAAATGACAAAAGAAAATGCTTCTGTGTTGTAACTTGTTCCGCCAGTCTCCCATAAGCTGCTGTTCTCACGTTTACCTCCCTGGGCTGGGTTTCTGAAGACAATTGTTTTATGCTACTAAGTAGAAAGCACTGAGAGGAAACATAGCTAAAGAAAAAGTGATACTTTTGAGTTAACTATTAACCAGATTCAAACAAGCTGGAGCACATTGCAAGCGGGGGTGAGTTGCTGGGCTGTTGGACAAGAAGGAGCTCCAGAGTGAAGAATAGGCATGGGGATACTCTATTCAGAGGTACGTGACCATTTTCTGCAGTTACTGACGCTGTTGAAGGTATGGATATTCACCGGACTTGGTTTGTTCCCTTCGCAGCCTCCCATACAGCGGCTTGTAGAGATCTGGAAGTTTTTCCCTTTGGAAACGTTTTCCTTTGTCTATTACAAGCCGTCAGTAATATTGTTTATAGTAGCCAAGAAAATGCAATAACCGGCGTAATTATCATGGCTTCACAAAGTATGTGTTCAACATTTTCTGTTCTGTGTTGAGATCAGAACGATTCTGTACATGGTGGAAGCAGCAAACAGCTTTGCAAAAAGTAGACAACTCCTGGGCTTACACTGATACAGATAATAAACTTAATGCCTAAGAAAACCTTCCACTCCCTCATATTGTTTTAGGACGGTAACTATTTTTTATCTTATCTTTGTGGGTTTGTCCCCAAACAACAGTTCATTTAACATTTTCCTGTACTTTAGCATAAATTCTGCTTAAACGTATTCTGTTATAAATTTCCCATTTGGACGTGTGGGAACAAATGAGGGATTTGGTCGTCTGTGACTGTGAAAAGTGAGCACTGCGCTGTGTTTCTGTTTCTGGAGGTAGCATTACATAGCTGTTACTTTTAAAGGCTACGTTTCTATGCTGAAAGCCGCTCTTCTATTTCCAAAAAGCTAGTCAATGAAATCAAGTATCTTCTCCTCTTTCAGTATTACCAGGAACTTGAATCTGTGCATTCATAAGGTGATCGACTGAATAGACTGTAGCTTATTCTGAAAGGATTTCTTGCCTCTCTCTGGATCTACTACTCTGAGGTAGTAGTGCAGTGGAAATCAGTGTTGTCTAGCTTAATTACACAGGTGTTTAAAGAATGTTCAAATATTGTCCATGTTTTTTCATGCTTATTAGTTAATATTTTCATATAAATTCATTTTCTCTCTTTAAGCATTTTGAGATACAGTTTTCTGGGTAAATTATGGTTCATTTATACAGGATAGAAAGCTGGGGAACTGAAAATAAAGTTATAACTTGCCTTTTCTGAGAAGCATGTATTGGATATTAGTGTATTCCTCAGCATCCTAAACATAATTTAGACTTTCCTGTTAAGTTCATAGCATGCTTTTTTGGTATAATTTTAGTACAAAGGAAGAGGCTATGGATTGATTCAGAATATTTTGATATTACAAAATATCTTCCTTTTTTCTAAACAACTGCAATGAGTTGATACAGTTTAGGCAATCCCCTGGAGTTCTAAAGGAGGAAGCAATTATAAACTGAAATTGCTCTTCAAGTTGCAAGACAGGCTTTACCTTCACCTCCTCCCTATTGGTTGATTGCTTTGTCCTTCATACTGTGCCTTTAACCTTTACTTCTGTGGTAGAACTTGCTAAATAGCTGGAGGTTTATCACTAGCTCATCAAAGCTAAGCAGAGTGTGATGCAAGAAATTCTGGAAAACATCAGGCAGGTTCAGATGTGGTGGTTAATCTAGGTCTGGGTAAACTACTACGACCTAGTATCAATCATGTTCCACAATTAATTAAAAAAATTAAAAATTTGGTTCTATAACTGCCCTTCCTGATAGAGCGTTATTGCTTTTCTCGCACCACATTTTTGGTGATTTTGGTACTGAGTGCTCTCAGCCATGAAACCCTTGCATGTCCTGTGAGTACTTCTCATCTTTCTGAAGCCTTATATACTGAACAACTAAACTCTGGTCTGAAGGGCTTGCAGAAGAAGAAGTATTGTAAAAAGAGAGATTTTAAACACTGAATTATTGGCATATCTAATCTTCAAACTCTACTTTCCATTCTCCAGTGTCTGCCCACTGTTTTTTTTTCAGGTGGGCAGTGTGCCATACTTCATGATTAGCCCTGGCTCTATGGCTGGGCAAAGGCACCTCTGATGAGGATTCAAGGAGTGTTTGGGGTTGTGATTCTGTTTTCTTCCTCCCTTCCATTGTACATTTTGTGCAGTCACACTGTCAGGTTCATCCTGTGCACCCTGTCTGAATGCTGGGTGGTGCTGCAGAAGTGTGAATGAGAGCAGAGTGAAGGGCTTTGCTGCCACATCCTTCAGAGAGGCCCTCCCTTCCTCTTTGCCTAAGCTGGAATTGGGGATCCTACTCCCCCTCCCTTCAGACCCGAGCCCGTGTCTGCATGGGTGCAGTGTTTGTTGTGCTGGCTCTGCCCTGCTGCTTTATGGAGCTGGGCCAGGTCTGTTGTGAGCTCCCTGGGATTTATAAATGATGTGGTGTGGGCAAGAGAAGCCGCTCTGTGTCTTGGACTGCAAACATGCTCAGAAGTTGAGAACTCAGTTCCCAGTGGTGCTTTCTTCATAATCTGTAGTTGTGGGAGCACTTCTCTTCTCACACATCCCTAAAGGAGACTCCAAGACGGGTCCATGGTGCAGTTGCCAGTGCGTCTCTGGGACAAGGGAAGCTGCAGGGGCTCTCCTGGCTGTCCTCCACTGCCATCAGACTTCTGCTGTCCTTGTCCTGCTCCTCACCACAGCTGAGCATGAGCCCAAGACATGAACTTTGGATTTCTTGGGTATGGCTTTCCCCTGGCATAGCTCAGGTACTCTGAGTACTATTCGTAGGTTTATTTCTCTCTTGTGTGTGATGAGTGGATAACAATAACATAGCAACAGCAATAACCATAACACAAATATGGCTGTGTCACTTCTGAGGCAATCTTCTAACACTGTAGAAAGCAGAGTGAGATTTTCCAGTCTCTTATCCTCCAGGTTTTTCTATAGACTTAAAGGAAGTATGTTTTCTTGGGTTTTGGATGAATACTGATACTCCCTGCTGATACTCCAGATAGGTGCTCTCTACCTGTTTGAAAGGAATTCTATTACTGTCTTATGAGCAAACTTTGGGGAATAGTTTAAAAAGGTCTTAAGCATGGTTAGTCCTTTAGATAGGGTTTCCAGAGTGACAACCCAAAAATAGTGAGAGGTGGAAAAGATATTTGTGGCTGAGGCTTCACAACCACAGAAATCCTGGCATATGCTCAAGCCCCAGCCTGGGGCCAGGCAGGTTTTGTGTCCAATCTGTTGCTACTGGAAGCTTGTTTTGTTACTTTGCTCTGCTTATGAATACAAATCTCTTTCTAATTTTCATGCTAAATTTCTTGGCCAGATGTATCACCTTTTTTATGGTGTTCCTTGAAATAAATTGATCTTCTTTACCACTGACCCATTAATTTATTTTGGAACACTAGGGACAGTGCTGTCTCTTCCTAACCCAGCTAAGCAAATCAACCTTTCTTCAGGCTCTTCATATTTCTCAGTTGTGGAGATGCTTCATGCTCTTGCCATGATCTGATCTCATTTTAGGACCCAAATGACAAAAACTCGACACACTATCCCAGTAAAGTGCTTCTGTAACATCTCTTTCTGTGAGAGACACTATCTAATATAGCATTTGCCTTTCTTGGACAAGTGGCTGGTTGCCACCTATTTTTAGTTTTTCTTATCTTTATATTTCCCTATAACTTTTTTTTCCCCCTGAATCCTTATTGTTATTGATATTAATATAATGAATTTACAGTTGTTGATATTGTTTGTTCCTTTACTTAAATACTGCTATGATGTTTGCTCTTCCAGCCATGGAAAAGCCAAATTGAGAAGTATATTACAAGTTTTGTCTGTCACACTTTTCACCTTTCTTTGATTAAAAGAATACAAAACAGCAGAGTGAGCCTCAAAAAAAATCCCATACAAATGGGAAAAAAGTTTGTGTTCCTTTGTTGTTTGGGTTTTTTAAAATTATTTAAATATGAATGGAACATGTTTATGCACACAGTATAATTTCTACAAAGTACCCCCAGTCCAGGGGAATAGTAACAATTCTAAATACATCTTTACTTTACATCATACTTTAAATACATCAGTTTTCCAGGTATTAGTTGCTGGAATGGATGAGAACAGCTTCCTTAGATTCTCTGTGCCCTGGGTGTTTTCTGAGAACAGCTGGTTTCAGTAGGTAAAAGAGCATGTGTGCCTTGTGTGTGCTGGGCTCTGTGCATGACTTCAACCCCAAATAATCTGGTCTCTCAGGGAGTGGTCTCTGTGCCATCATTGTTGATGGCTCTAGAACTGAGTTCAGCAGTAGTGTAAGGTTTAGAAATTGATCCCATGGATCAAAGAGAGCATCAGTCAGAAATGCCTTGGGTTTAATCACCTAGCAAGTATAAGTCTTAGAGGCAGTACAGAAAGAAAAACAGAATATATCCTTGAGCTGCTGAATGAGCAAAACCAGCCTAGAAAGGAGCAAAGTTATATGCTAAATGACTGGGAGTTGAACAGATGTTCAACCAAAGAGCAAATCTCCTACATCTTTAAATAAGCAAAGCAATGCCTAATAAATAGAGTTGTAGGGAAATCAAAGAAGCAGACAGACTCCACAGGATCTTCTCTTTCCTGGACATGAAGATGCAGTGCTAGACACCAACGTGACAGAGAGCAAGGTTCTAGAGAAAACTGATCTTTTAGATGGCACCTGTGTGCAAATCACACCAAAAGGGGTTTGAAAGAGGCTTTTCTCTTCAAAATCATTAAAACAGTTCTGGTTCTGGTGAAATGTAAAATACCAAATTGTATACATACAGTTCTATACAAATGCAGACAGATGTGCAAGTTTAAAATATGGCATGTGTTCTTTGTAGATTTTTGACTGATATAATAGAAACAAAACAAGAAGTGGTGCAAGGTCTGGTAGGCATGTAAATACTTCCTTTGGAAATAAATCACTTCTCTTACACAGCTGTCCAGAAAACTAAGCAGTAATTATTCTCGAGATAAGCCTGTGTTGTAGATCAAAGTTTGGCTGAAAAAGTGTAAATAAGATGAATATTTTCAAGGCAGGAAGGTGTAGGGGTAAAGGGGAGGACAGAGAGGAGGGAACAATCTGGAGGAGTGAGGAAGGAGCTCAGATTTCAGGACTAGATCTTTTTCAAGTAGAGCACTTAGTTAAAAAAGGAGAATTGAGAAGACGAACTACAGCTAATATTTAAAGAAAAATTCTATTTTAGAAGATGTTGGGTAAAATTCTCAGTATCAAAGAATATAAATACTTATTCTGTTTTTCACAGGAGAACTCAAATTCTACCAGTCTGCCCCACTTCTAAATGTTAGTTTCTGCCTGTATTAGGCTGTCAGAAACTTGCAGTACTCCTGCCCTTCTCAGTTTCTCCTTAGTCTGAATTTTTGCTACTGGAGAGGGAAAGAATTGCAGTTTAGGTCAAGGACGTGTAGAAATACTGAACGAAAAGCTGACCAGCAAGCAGTTCTCAAAAGCCAAGCAGGATCTGACCTGTGGGTACCCTGGCATGTATTTTTTTAGGTATTTCAAGGTCTAGAAAAGAAACATTGGTAGGGGCTTGGTTTTTCAACTTTCACCTGAAATGAGGTTCTTTTCTGGGAACAGATGAGTCAGGAGTGGCTCATTCTGATCAGCCAAAGGGAAAGCCTGAGGTAAACAGGCACATGGGCTTGTCCCTGCTTGCTGCTTAATACATTGACCAGCTCCTGTGAGAATTGAGAATGGAAGCCGGTTTTGGGTTTGTTTTGGTTTTTTTGTTTGTTTGTTTGGTTGGTTGGTTTTTCTGTTTGTTTTGGGTTTTTTTTCCCTAATGGCTGCAAATAAACAGGATTTATTTCCTGGATTATAGAATTAGCATCCAAAATGAACAGAAAATCCATTCCACTGTGCAGAGGCTGTGACTTCGGGGCTGAGAGCTGTGTAGCAGCTGCAGAAATGTCTCCTACCACCATCTTCTGGAAGGCACCAAGAACTACAGCCTCAGTCAGATGTTCTGGGGTGTGTGAGTAGCGAGCCAGAATGGGAAGTATGGATGTCTCAGTTAAACACGTGCTGATGAATATTATCTTCTCACTTCAGCCCATCTGTCAGGCAGCTTATAACAACGATTTCAATAAAGTTCATCTCCTTTTGGAGCGCAACAGCAACTGTTTGAATGTACAGGACAGCTTCCTTGGAGACACCCCCTTAATTTGTGCATGTAGACAAGGAAACAACAGGATAGTTAACTATCTTCTTAGGAAACATGCTGATGTCAACCTCAGGAACAAGGTAAGTGGCCACTGACTCTTCCTTTGTGGGACTGTTCTTTCAGATTTTTGAAGTGCCAGTGGGAGCACTAGCAAGCACAAACAAACCTCAAGTTTGTTTCATACTGAGGATATGTGGAGAAACTAAAAGGAACTAAAGGCAGAACTAAAAGGCTTTTCTGCTTATTTTAGGGCCATGTGTCTAGCTCCATTTCGATAACCTGTATCAAGTTTAACACTGTAGCACAAAGCTTTGCAGACCTGCCCTTTAGTTGCTTTGGTATATTCAGTATTCAAAGATTTTTTAAAACTCTGTTCTCAATAGGAGTTTGTGGTGGTTTTTAATGCTTTCTTGTTTTTCTCTGATGTCCCAGAAGAGATGTCCTAAGGTCTCATATGTCCTTGCTTCAGTAGCCAGCACCTCCATAACAGGGGAGGCTGTGGTGATTCCTCCTGCTGTGTGACAGCAACAGCCACATGAGATACCCACTCTGCCCTTTGAATTTCTGCAGCCAGGTCCAAGTTTGCCAGCATGGAATCATTTGAATCCCACACCCTCCTTGCATGTGTAATCCAATTTCCATGACCCTCCATGTGTTAAATGTGCTTTTACTTGAAGGAAGCAAGATGCATGTGCCTATTTCTGCTTGAAAAACACAGATTTCCTATTAGATAGTCCAAGAGAAAGCTTGTGGAATTTAAAAATGGTCTGCTCCAGTCAGTATTAAACAGAGTGAGTTCACTGAATGTGGTACTAATCAGAGCTGCTCTGTGTTCAGAAGGACCGCACTTGCCTCCATTATGCTGTGAGAAAACGTTTCACCTTCCTTGACTATGTGCTCATCATAATCCTCATGCCAGTTATGCTCATTGGATACCTTCTCATGGTGAGTCTGGATGGGGGCAAGCATGACCCTGTATCTTTCCCTTGCCGTTTTTCATAGCAGTGTTTCAGGCCAGGAACCTCTAGAGAATATGGACTGCTTTCTTAAACCAAGACTCAATGTGTACAACAGAAGGAGAAGGGATTTTGCTGTGGCAGTAGCTGGTGAAGGAACAGATTTTTATTACTGCATCAGTCTGACATTTCCAGAGACCATGCCTCTTTTTGGAAAAAAAACGATGGTATTTAGCACAAATATACTTAAGACTGTATGTAGATTAGCTGTTTTACCGTGTTACTCTTTCCCTTGCACCAAACAGGTCTCAAAGACAAAGCAGAATGAACACCTGGTCAAGATGTTGCTTAGATCTGGAGTCGATGTGAATGCTACAGACTCTGTAAGTGGGTTTATACAAATGCAAATGTGGCTCACATGCAGGAAACTATACTAAAAACAGACTACAGAACCTTCTAGCAGCATAGCTGGGTTAGAAGCATCAGGGACTGAACTGTCTAATGTACCAGGAGGATTCAGTGTTTCTGCTTGACACTTAGGCAATAGATGTATAGTGTATATAAAAATAATTCCCCACTCATCAACTAATCCTCCCTTTCTGATCAATGCCCTTGTAAGATAATCCAGGCAAGCCGGGCTCATGTACTTATGATTAAATACCCAATTCTGTAAAGATTCTAGTGATATAAGCATCTCAGTTTTTCAGCATTTATAAGATTTTAAACTGGAACAGATTTGTGGGCTAAAGGGCAAGACCCTGTGTCTTCTCTCGGTCTTCAGAGTGTGCTGATCTGCCATATACAGAATTATGTACCCACTAGCCTACTTAGGTTGGGTAAAGATCTCCTCTTCTCTAAGGTAGAAAAGGAGAAACACCAATTTTATCAGCAATAAAATTTTAAAACACTGAGGAACAAGCAAACAGTATTGTTTCATATTTAATTTCTGAGATCAAGTTCATGTGATCCTCTGAAATTATTGTCTTCCTGCTGATGTATCAAACCTGTTTTAGCAGTTGCATCCCAGGGAAGGAATTAATTATTTTGTCCCTGTTTCTCTCATGGTAATGTATTTGTTTTACTGTGTAGTGTATTGTGTCAGGAAATGGTATATGTGTTTTGCATCCAGCTGTTAAGGAGAATCTGATAGGCTACAGGTAGTCCTACTTACCTAAGCTCTACTACAGAAGTCATAGAAATAAAATTAATCTGCTTCTGTTTCCCTTCAGTCTGGCAGCACAGCCCTTCACTATGCTTGTGAAATGAAAAACCAGGCAGTCATTCCTCTACTGCTTGAAGCTCATGCAGACACTTCTGTAAAGAATCAGGTAAGAAGGTGAAGTTGATAAATGTATTCTCTTATCATGGTGGTCAACCAGTAAGTACATTGTAGGCCTTAGCTGGTGCACAGCAGTTTAAAGAGAAGGGTGCACAGCTTCCTGGCAGCCAATTTGCTTCCTAGGTGGTATGAAACTTTTGTTCCATTGCCTTTGTTGACTAGAGCAGCTTTAAGTATGAATCCTTCACTGCTGGATTTCTACCAGTAAACACTGCCTGCATGTCCCCTGGCTTAGCACATCTCTTCCCTATCTTTATGTTGCCTCTTCTTAGCTCAGAGCTACTCTATAGCTGTTCCTTAAATGTAGGCTTCAGGGCAGGGATAAAAGTCTCCCTAGGTGTTTTTTGTACTGTTGGGACCCTTCTTCTGAGAGGCTAGGTCAGGCTGCTTCTGTCACCAGGACAGCTCAAGTGCTGCCCAAATCAGAATTGATCTGTGAGTATCCACACTACTGAGCTGAGGTGAGCTGTGTATTACCTATGTTGCTCTTGAAATCAAATCTTAGCTGAACTCCATACATTTGGATATAACTCCCAGGAATTTCCCTACTATAGGGGAGGTCTCTGTTCCCTTCTTCAGCCAGAGCAGTATTAGGCCCAGCATGTCCTGAAATCTTTATTTTAGAGCAGAAGTGACAGGGGACCTTACACAGGTGGCAAAGTTAGGAAATCTCTTTATATGAGACCCATATCTGTCATATTGTAATGTATTTCATGTGTTTCTTTCAGGATGGGGAGACTCCCTTAGATATAGCAAGAAGATTGCAGTTCCACAACATTGAAAGAATGATAAGAAAAGATTCTTAGCCACCAAGGATTCTCAGACATGCAGAAAATTACCTCATCTGATAATCTGCCTTTCACAACAGCAGAAGTCCTGCAGAGGATGAGGGGTGACACTTGATAAAGACTCAGTCCACATCCACCCATTCCCTGCTGCAGACTTGGACAGTTTTGTGTGAGATTCGTCAGGCCCAGGCCATGAAGTTAATTTTATTTTACTAAGCCGTGAATTACTACAATAGTGTTGTAGTGTTCAAAACAGTCTTTTCCATCTGCTTCATCAGTTTTATTACTTGACTTCTGCAGACTGTGGATTTTGAAAGCTAGCTATAAAATATCTGGAAACCTAAACATTGCATATAATGGTTGGCAGTCAATGCAAAAATAAAATATCTTTTAGAATGTGTGCTACTCATTCCATAGGAAAACTAAACAATATGCTACAACAGTTATAAAAGGCCTGGTACCCTTCTTAGTATTTATCTTCCTACAATGGGAGGGGCTGGGAAAACAGATCTCTCAGTTGAGCCCTTCCTCCTTCCATCCTTCCTACAACCTTAATTCTCATGGTGTTGCTACAAGGGATCTTGTAGAATAGGACTATCTTCTTTTGTTTTCATCTAAGAAACAGCAAAAAGAGATTCAATGCCTTGCTGGAGACCATAAAACAAGTGAATCACATTAATGCATTAAGAAAGAGTAAAGAAAATATGTTTGGCTCAGTAGAGAAAAAGGTCTCTTGACTACCTTTCCAATATAAACAGTGTACTAAAGAAAAAAAGGAGTCAATAAATGAAATTCCATTGATGGAAACCAGATGTATCATTCCCACGGGACTGACAGGACAGCATGCTGTACAGAGAGAGGATGCAGGAGAGGATAATACCAATCATAATAATAATATATGCATGAGTCTTCTCTTGCATAAGTGAAGGCAGAAGAAAACCTGCAGTAATAAGCAATGTATTAAAAGTGGTCCAGTGCTCTGTGATTTAATAATGCGGCAATAAAAGGGAAACTTCTTTCATACACTGCTGTGTTGTGCCTCCTTGATCTAATGGATCTTTATTTTTGTTGACAATTTTGACCTTTTCCTGTAAGCTGTCAGAAGTGCAGTACAGCATTGCTAATGGGTGCTACAGTAGGTAGCACAGCATGGACAAGCTAATGTACTTTTCCTGGGTTGCAAAGACAGATATGTTTTTCAGCGTCATTATTGTATTGGATGTCAACTCCAACTACAAAGGGTCTTGGCTGGACAAGATGAGCTTGAGGCTGCAGCCAGAAACACCCCATGAAATAAAGCTCCTTGTTGGAGCCTGTAATAATGAACATTTTGTGTGCACTCTGAGGACAGACTCCAGATCAGCTTGTGGGTAAAAAGAGATGGGCATGGATTATGAAGACATCTCTCAGGGATGATGGCCAGAAGGGGAAAACATCCAACTGCTTTGCCATGTTTTGAGAACTGCTTGAATGAAGAAGGGCCCAGACACAGAGATGTGTCAAAGTGAATGCTGACAGCTGAGAGTTCTTGCAACAGCTTCATTACCAGTGTGAAGAATAATTCATAGGGTGGAAGCTGTATTGCCTGGAGTGCACCTTACTGGATGGGTCTACATCTCCTTATTCCACAGCTGCCATCTGTGGTCTTTGAAACTATGAGGGGTTCAGGGTGTGTGAACAAACATTTGGGTGATTTGTAGGCATGGGGGACAGAGAAATACTTCAATGATTTTTTTTAAGGGTGGATTCCTTGATATTTTGTCCTCATCTATTATCTGCTCAATTTCTTGTGCTTGAAGATCTCTTGGTTGCAGTGACATTAAGGGGTAATTTGAGGAGGGAAAACAAAAAAGACAGGTTTTCTGTCAAGGGGATCAATAATTTAATTTAAACAAAATTGTTCATTTAAACAGAGAAATGATAAAATCACACTTTTGGGTCTCCATAGGAAGTCAAAAATTGGGAATGAGAATGCCTCAATTGTGTAAATAAAATCTATCTTAAAAGAACAGAATTTAGGCCTAGGAAAATTAGTCTTGTAGAAATAAAAACTTTTGAAATTCAGTGATCCCTGCAGTATGTACTCAAATATATTAATGTTTTCATCTTTCATTCTTATATACCTCAGACTTCTCAGGAAGACAGCAGTCACAGGAACACCATGGAAAAACTCAAATTATGAGGAAAATAAGAAATAAATAAGAACAAATATATACCCATAGAAGTATCCATTTTGTGTGCTTGTGTGTTTACCTCTTGCCGACATACCACCCTTATTGCGAGATAGACATTTTGGAGGTTTTTATAATCAATAGTCTGCTCATGGTTTCAAAAATATTTTCTTAATAATTCAATGATTTTCAGATACATTTTTTCAGTTGCATCAAGGCCCCAGATGAAATCAAGATGTCCCCATGCAGGAAAATGCTCATGGTAAATAAGATTAGTAATCCGAGGAAGCAGCCTTGCCATGTCTGTTGGGTCTGCAAATGTGTCCTGTCCACCACTCCAAACAGCAATTGGTGTCTTTATCTCCTCTATCTTGTACTCAGGAGGAGTAGTCTGTAAGACAGGGAGGAGACCTGGGTGAATGCTGCTGTATCAAAGTTGTGCTTAGAGAAAGGTTTCTGTGCAAGCACCTCTCTTTGTCTTTTGTTTCTGCACTGCCTCCAGTAAAACCATAAGGATGAAGGCCACCCTCTTATTGCTCATTGCCCTAACCCCATTCCCTGCCTATGGAATGACCCACCCTATTCCTGTTATTTCTATAAAGCATGGCTGAGGATTGTCTTGCAGTTTGGTCCTGGCTTGAGCTCTTCAGAGTTGTGGGAATGGAAAGACCACTGGCAGTATTCATCAGTCAAGGACTGAGGAGATTTTTCTTGTGTGTATTCAGGGTGAGGTGATCTATAAGTTTTTTTGGGGTGCATGGAGTGCAACTTTGGATCTTAGTTTTCATGCTTGGAACTGAAGTAGAAAGGAAATAATTTGGTCATTTATGATTTCACCCTAGAAAACTTCGGAGTGTGCAAGATAAAAGTGACTGATTGTAGCTCTGGAGCCTTTCTGTTTGTGAAAAACAGCATTTTGGTACAGCATGAGGTACTTCAAGTCAAATGTGCTTATTAAAAGCGAAATGGTTGCCAGTCCACTGGAGAGGTCACTTTAGCTGTGAGATCCATCTCCTCTCTTAAAGAAAAGGCAGGGTTTGAGGATTTTTGGGAAAGTGAAGAGCTCTGTACTCACCCAGTCCTAGGACTTGGGTGTGGTTCTTATTCATTTTTGGAATGACATGTAAGTTGACGTGTCATTGAGCACATCCCAGCATCAGTAGGGGAGACAAAATGAACTTCTGTTAATTGTCTGTTAGGGTCTATCTCTGCCTTGTTTGTGAATAGAATTTTATACTTGTGTGTGATGCAGCTGAAAGATTATCTCTCACCTTTGTTAGTACTCACAGGTGCTAAAATTTGAATTTTTCTATACTAGTTTTACCAAGGCTCAAGGGTAAGTTCTGAGGGAGCCCATTTTGCCTTACCTGGTTGTATTTCTTCATGTTTTCCTTAGAGCCATAGTCATAAGCTTGAAACCGGTCTGTATGTGCTAGCTGTTAAAAGACAAAATAAACAAACAGACAAAATAAAAGATATGAGAGATGAAGGAGCAGAGTGCAGGAGGTGTATTCCTGCCTGTGAATTAAGTCAAGGCTCAGGTAGAGGTCTGTGTTACTCCCACACCTTCCTCTGGTTGCAGGCTTCCAGGGTGCTGAGGATAGATCACAGGGTAAGTGGCATCCTTGCCTTTTCTCTTGCTAACTTTCTGTCCAGATCCACCCTCAATATGTTTTATTACTTAAAATTTTGTTTTACAACCTTAGATAACTAAAGTTGAGGTCACACTTTGTCATGCAGAGTTGGGTCCAGTTGTCACATGGAAAGAGAACCTGAATGTCTGTAATATGCCAGGGCTATTACAAGTTTTGTGTAATATGCCTTACAGGACTGGTGAGTGAATACCTGGAGTTATTTGTTTGTTTGGTAATTTAATTTTTTGCATAAACATGACCAGTAATTTCACTTGAAAGTGGTATGTGATAAAGGGTGAGAGAAACCCGGTGTTTGTCAGTTTAGAAAACATTTGCTTCCAGGATTTAAGTAGTTGAGTATGCATTAAAAACCTGTCTGGTGCATTGTCTTTGCTGTTCTGTCTTCCTCTATCTGTGTTTGCTTTGCATCCACTTGATTTTGTTAGAGGCTGGCAAAATAGACCATAGAGTCACTAGCTGTTCATGGTTTGTGTCCATTTCCTGCCTAGCTGTATCCTGTGGGACTGACTGTTGGGAATCTTTGTCTTCAGGAGCACATCCATATTCTAGACCATATTAAATGTGCAGGTGCTTATGGCAGTAGGTGAGAAGGCATGATGGTCAGTTTCCCAAATCCAAAGCCTCTGGATTTCCCTGTAGGCTGTCAGTTGCATAAAAAGCAGTAGTAGGAGATTGTTTACATGTCAGTGCACAATTATACCTGTCGCCAATGAAAAATGTTGTGTGCCGATGTTCCAGCTGGGGAATGTCCTACGTACATATCCACTCGACTCTGGAGAGAAAGCAGAAATTTTATAGAGACAGAGATCCAGCGCTGTGACAGAATAAAACTGTAAGAAAGTGAGTTTCTATTGAAGAAGTCACCTTACAAAATAGTTTTTATAGTTCAGTTAGGGAGATGTCCCAGTTCCATCTGCCTGGATTCTTCTTCAGCTGTGTTATCTTGCTCTGAGAACCACGTTAGTGACTTTAAGCAAGGCAGGAAATATCCTTCATGGTTTAGCTCTGCAACTCAAAAGCTGCAATTGATTTTGCATTGAACCTTTGAGTCTAACTGCTTTCCCATATGTGCTTTTGGAAAGGATTATAGATGAAAAAAAGTGGGCCCAGTTGTTACAGACACTGCTGTAATAAACATTATACAGACCAGCTTCTGCATATTTTGGCCACCGTAAAGGGGATTGACACCACAGCATGCAAGTATTGGCAAGCAGAGGGAAAACTCTGCTGTCTCTCCTGTCCCCTCTGTCTGCTGCACAAGTGTTTGTGAATCCCACTCTAGGTGTGCTGCACTCCTCAGCATGGTGGAAGGGCTTTCTGTAGCTCTACACCTTGTGGATTGAGCTGTTGAGCCCAGTTCTAAGGTCAACAAAATCAGGAAAATGCCCCTTACAGTAGTTCTTTGGGACCAAGTTTTTTGGTGCAAATAGTCTGAAAATTGGGAAGAAGAAGTTTTCTCCTGTCTTTTAGCTATTTCAGTGTTCAGAGGACCCCAGTGTCTATATGCTAAGGAAGGAAACTGTCAGCTGTATTGGCATGAAGTCTGACTCCATCACTCTTTGTCTCTTTTTAAAGAATATCTATATGTGACAAAAATCTGGTTGGCTTAGCCCCAAAAGCGGGTACATCCTGACATGTGCAATACAGCTCCAGTCTGAACTCAGTTCTTCCTTTCTGCCATTGGAATGTGCCTAGCTGCTGGTCCCACCCATCACTAGCCCAAACCGTGCTGCCACTGCAGACAGTACACCACATCCTGGCGTTCCCTCGGTCTGCTGAGAACTACACTGTAGCTTGTGTACATTTACACGTGGGACAGTAACTAGACAAGGATATAGTGCACAAAACTGCCAAAATCCCTTTAGTTTTGCTCTGAGTAGGTGTTACTGCCTATACTTACCGTGTTGATATTTTTTACACTGCCTCCAGCTATGTAACAGAGAACATGGGCACAAAACTTATCCAGGGTTGTACAGAGCTGTGTCACGGGTCCTTTCAGAAACTCGATCTGGTGTGCAGCTCCTTTGCAGCCAAACACTAACTGAGGGAAAGGAAAAGTGCAATACCTTTTTTTCTTGTTACAGAAGAATTTAATGCAGAAAATTTTTGCTAATAGCCTTGCCTTCATAACACAATATTCAAAGACTGCTGGAGCAGCTTACCCTCGCATTACCCCTTAAAACACCCTCTTCCCCAC